GCATAACTCAAGAACAATAAAAGTGACGCTACCCAAATTTGTACTTGATCTTAATTTTGTAATAATAAGTATTGTGTATAGGTTTCATGTTTGGTTGGGGCAAACTTAAGTTACAGAACGGAAACTAAAAATTTTGCAATTTTTCGATTTATAAAGGAGCATAACTCAATAATGGTTAAAGTGACACTACCCAAATTCAACTTGATCTGTGTTATATCAGTGGAAGGCAAAATTAAACATTGCACTGTATAAAGCATTGATTGTATAAAGCATTGATTGTAGTTGATTCAACTTAGAAGTGTAAAACTTAATGCCCCCTCCGCTTCGGCGGGGGCATAAAAAGGGCGTTAATATTAAGTTCGTAAATTCTAATAAATAAACTTAATTTGAAAAGTAAAATGCAAATGGAGACCTAGGAACATCATGTTCCGTCTTATTCATAGACAATCAATAGATACCTCGTAAAACTACATACACAATCTAAGTATTATTTTCATTTAATATATTATCAGTTGTATTGTCATATCAAAACGACATTTAGGATTGCAAAAGGGATATACATAGACATTTTAGAACAAAACCCGATTTAAACGGTAGAAAACAGGGGGAAATTTACTTATCATAGATTATGTTGATGTTTTATAAACTGAAACAATTAACAATCTATTTCATTCAAGAAGTTGAGAACTAAAAAGAAAATGTGAATAACGTTGCTTACAACGGCGGTGCATGATCGATCTTAATGGTCAAAGTCGACAAGGGTCGATTGTTTGTACTATATCTATCATGGTATAATTTTGATATTATTAGCCAGTTTAGTGCATTATGTATTAAACTGCCCCTTTATTTATAAAAGCAAAACTGGTTCATTACAGACTAACAGGGCATTAATTCGGGGCAATTATGAATAAACAGGGCTATTATGAATAAACAGGGTCATTATAGAAAATAGGGCTATTATGAAAAAACCGGGCCAATATGAAAAAACAGGTCCGTTATGAATAATTGGGGCTATAACGGATTTTCAGTTGTTATCAATTCAAATACAATTCTGGGGAACATCAAGAAATTGAAAGTTCCCAAGAACCATGACTTATCTTATTTGACCCAGTTGTCAAGTTAATATTTACATAATACATTCAATGATGTGTATCAACTTATTTAATTTAAGTTTTTAAATCCGGAATGATATCTTGTATTTTTTATGCCTCGGTCTGTAATAATGGCGTTGCCTCGTGCCATTACAGGCATCCTCGACCATTATAACAAACATTGGACATATAACAGGACCACAGTATTATATCTATGGTATATTACATTTTGTTATTATTAATTTATTAATCCAATAATCCTTTTCAATTCATCTTATTGGTACTTATTGTCATCAAAATTTTATTCTATTATTTCACACCACGGCCATTTTCATAAATAGTAAAATTTTACTAAAAACCATTCACAGTATAACAGCCTAATGAGTATACTTTGAGGTACTAGTAACACTTTGGGCTTATCTGAACATGCAACTAACTTATAAATGCCTAAATACGACTCAAATCAGCAATGGTGGCATAGCTTTTGGCAAATTTTTAGTAACCATATCAATAAATTAAAAGGAACGAGTGTCCTTTGGTACAAAATTTTATAAAAAGTTGTAAAATAAGCAGTGTTTCAATAAAACTGTCTTCAACTTTAATTAATATAAACTTCAATGTTTAGTGCTGAATTACATTTTTATTTATAACAGATATGTTCAAATTCTTGTAAAATCCTCTAAACATGTATATCTTTAATATTCAAATAACAGTATGTTTGTATACATGTAACAACTTTCGGATTTTGAACTTAGGAGTGAACAATATTTCAGGGGAAGTTAACCCTACCCCTTATAGTCAGTCATTACAAAAGCTATCATGTGTAGGTATACTATTAATCGTATCGGATGAATATCAATTTATCGCATGATACCAAAAAAGCAAATTATTGATTTCTGTACTGTTGGACCAAGTTTCATTAACAACGCAATGTGTTTTCATATAATATCCAATTAAAGACCATAATTGAATTTAAATAGTATAAGATAACACATCAAGCACTATTAAACTATCTATGGAAGTTTATAAATTGTAAACATATATGCATTGAATAAACATGTGAAGAAATAAACACTGGCAATGAGTGAAATTCTAAAGATCACATGTTGATATATTGATAAGTATAAAATATCGTGGTTTGTACTTGATTGGATCCGTGCCGTTCTCTCACAAGTGCACTCTCAATTGATTATACTAAAAAATACCCGACCGTGCAAGACCCTCATGGGTAGTCAAGGTCGTTAAAAAAACGTCGTCGTCGTATAATAAATCTCGGAAAGCTCATTATTAATTTTTAAAAATTCGTTATCTTTAGACCCAAGCATTAATACCAGTTTACAGGTATTTGATTGCAGCAGAAAAACCTATATTCCTTGAATATGTGGAACTTTTAACCAAATAACAACTCGACTTAGAAATGGAACTTCACTTTTGATACGATATGTTCCAGTATAAAATGTGATCAACTGCCAATTAGATTTAGTTAACTTATTTTAGGTGTTCATAAAAAAATCTATTATAAAGGGTTTGAATTCTCTCAGAGTTGGGAAGATGCCCATTTTATTATGACATTAAATCTATATATGTGGAATTTTTGGTAATGCTAATAAAATCTTGATATCAAATGTTCTCTATTAATAGAGGCTTTAATTAGTTGCATAACAAATCTTTTCCTTTCCAAAATATAAAATCTTTGTATCGTTCGAGATCATTTCAGTCAGTTATTAAAAATAAAGTCCATGCATGAAACATAAAGCATCATCTTCTCCAAAAGCAATTAGCTTGAACAATAATACGAAACAAGTTTTAAAATTAAAAATTAAATAACGGCTAGTTACAAGTTGTTCTGATGTTTTTTTATCTTAACTCAATGAAGGGAATACTAACATGGTTTATGAACGCGCAAGATAAATCAATGCTCACTGTAGTTTGTAGATTTATTTCTTAAAATCATTATAATTACTTTTTGGCGTTTTTCTGATGATACAAGTGCAAGAAATATTACATAGTAAAATAGCAGGGTGCATCATTGAACTGAATTGACCTGCGTAGGCGTGTAGTAAAAAATAAAGCTGTCATTTCACTTATCATCATTTAACCACTTAACCAACTCACCATGCATGCATGATGTTGAACACGCGTCTTATTGTTTCAGTCCCTTTAACAAATACCGCTGCTATAAAAGACCTTTGCTACTTTCAGCTATTACTTTTTAATCATTTACTGAAATACTTAGTTCTTCTGAATTATGTTTCTTATTACATTTCATCTTTGCTTAAAAAGTCAATTTCTGTAATCAATAGGTTTTGTCGGAAACTACTAATTTAAAAACTAAATTCAATAAAAGCGTCTCTAAATAATATTTGGAATGTGACATGACTGTTGTTTATCCCCTATCTATTTTTTTCTTCAAATATTACATCAACCTATATATATATATATCTAAGAGCATTGTAAATTTTATTGATTTTGGTCAGTTCGGAGAATATGATAATGATGACAGATATTTGATTGTTTAATTTATTCACATCTTTCATTTACGCGAGGTAATTTACTGTACCATATAATTGTGGAAAAATCCACACTCATACATTTGGAGTTTGTCAGTTATTCTCATTTGAGGTTAACCAAACCATTCCACCATCAATAAAAGCTGACTGACCGTCTATGTGTTGTTTTAAAGTATTACTTTGAAACACTATCAATCAAACACTCTTTATAATATTTTCCGAAACCAACCTACTATTTGATATATTTGTCTTTTTAATTTAACAGACGTTCTTTTTTTAAATCTCCGATAAGCAAACTGTTCTTATGTACAAGTAAAGTTGTCGACAGTCGGTTATATACCAAACTCTTAACTTTCCTTTAATGTTTCCCTGTGACCTGTCAGATACTGACGATATCAAGTTAGATAGCGAAATACGATGCATTTACCCTTTTTTACCAAGATTTACCAAATGATTATGAAGAACACGTTTTTATTATTTCTATTCAAAATCACATCAATCTTACTGCAGAATATAACCCTTGTTTTAATGCCGTTTTAAACTTAAGTTTGGCTAGGTCCTGAACATATATGTCAATTAATCACGGTACCAAAGATCTCATGATAGGTTATGGACCAGTCATCTGGCAGCCAAAATATATAAATGATCCATGATTCTGTAATGAGGAGTACCCAAATTGCATCCATACTTAAATTCACATCCTTAAAAATCGTATAACAGATTTTTTGTTTTATTTCTTCAAATATTTAGAACAATTTGACATTAGTCCATGCTCACTATTCATTTTTTAAGAAATGGATGCTTGTAACATATTTTATTTGCTCACTTTTAAAAGATGACTTTTTGTGGACGTCGCATTTACTTTTCAGGTGAATACTTCATCTGATGATATGTACTGTGAAAGTTTTGTGCATATCTATATGTAGTTAGCTATATATATGTTGGTAGACGTTCCTAATGTCAAATCATGAAAATACAAATTGTTTAGTCTCAAATAAAAGCTTGCAAGATTTCCGCTGCTTTTTTCGCTAAATAGGTCCAATTTGGGTATTCGGTGCAATTTGGGTACTTTGACGTTACATGATTAATAAAACAGAAGTGTTATCTTGAATCTGTCCAAACAATATATGATTAAAGGGGGATAACACTTTTTACTCAACTATATTACAGATATTCGTAATAAAAGTAAAATTACTTGTTTAAGTAATATACCCGATACGCGTAATATTACTTAAATAAATAATCGCCTGGACTGTTTAATTATTCATTGAAATTGCGATAAAAAAATCAACAAATTTAACAGTTTTCTGCTTTAATTAACACAAATTATTTTTTTTTCATAGTTTTAATTCAGTTTTGGGGTGTTCGGCGGTGTCTTGCGGTGTGCGGTGGTGTTCGGCTGTGAAAAGACCTACCCGTGACTGACCATAGTTTCCTGTATCCGTTTGACTGATTGACCACTTTGAAGAAAACCGACAGAAAAAGAATCGCATTAAAATGGATAACAGGTAAAACACGAAAAAACTATTTTCATTTATTTAATCAACATACAACAGTATGAACTGTTGCGATTTGGGGACACTGCCACTGGTCGAAAACGGATAGACCGACCCGCCCATATTGCCGAATTTCGTTACTTCACAAAGTGATAATTAAATGCATTCATATTCTAAGAATGAATACCAACGTTAAAATCACGCAATAAACGAGAAAAAAGTCTTTTTTAATTTTTCTTAAGCATGATGAAGGTAAACATTGAAGAACTAAAGTGATTAAATTTGAGCTGGTAGTCAGATGTACCAGATATCTTCGAATTCGAGTCAATTCGTCACCTGTTTATATCGGCACCTGGTCAAATCGGCACTTATTCAAATCGGGATCTGGTTAATTCGGCACCCGAGGTTGTTATTTCGGCACCCAAAATTAACATTATGTTTACAAGTAAACGTTTGAAGACTTTTTTTTCCCCATAATTTAAAAAAAAATTTCACTCGAGGTGTCAATTAACATATATTTGTTGCTCGTAACAGAATTTCCAATTGAAACTTTGTTATAAACAATAATGAACCTTTATTTCATGACAACTGGGCCTGCACATTCCTAGTTCAAATAATTATGACGTCTTGAAAGGCTTAATTGGAAGGCGTCCCAGAAAAAAATTAAGCCTTTCAAGATGTCATAATTATTTGGATGAGGAAGGCGTCCCAGAAAAAAATAAAGCCTTTCAAGACGTCATAATTATTTGGACTAGCACATTACTAGTAAACATGGGCTACAAGATTGGTGCCAACATTATTCATTTTATATTTTAAGTAGACAGGAAATGCAGAAAAAAATAAAATTTAATTTACAATGATTAAATTAGTTTTTATCTTCATCTGTCATGTCTGTGGATTTTACACAACATCAGACCTGCCAAATAGCCCGATTTATGGGGGATATTGTAATGGTTTATTTCTTCCTCTGTGATATTTTATCCTGGGGATAATTTGTCACAGAAATTTTTTTCCAGACATGGTATTTCACAAGTAGATTTTATCCAGAGGAGTGAAATTCTATCTGTCTTATGCAGATAGTATTTACCAGTATATATTCTCCGTTCCATATTTCACAGAACCTTGTGAAATAGAGCCCCACTGTCTAGTCTATGTAAAGTACTCGCAATCAATATATACCTGACCATAATTATAAATGTTTCACCAAGGTAGAACATATTTGCATAATTTATCAATCAAAGGGAGGTAATTATGAGCCATTTATATTTTACAGATATTATATTCCAGAAACCAGAATCTATTTCATAGTGAAATTTTTCCTTTATTCTTAATTTTTTATATTAATTTATATAAAAAGATGACTTAAAACATGATTTAAAAAAAATCTATATTTCTACTTACTTTTTTATTTGTACTGACATGAATGAGACACATGTGAGATCTGAAAACAACTCACTTTTACCTGTATTACACTTACCTTATTTTATGTATTAATTTGATCATGATATTATTTCACAATTAAGATCTGTGAAATTACTTCTGGTTTTGTTTCATATGTTTCATGATATTTGTCTTTTAAAAGAATGATATTTACTTTAATATTTCAGGATATTATTTTCAATTATAATCTGTGAAATTATTTCCCATTACATGTATAATACATTTATTTGGTTTTTTATTTACTAATTTAGCTTATATTCAAATACACTATTATTATTACATAGTATTTGCAAAGATTAAGTTTTTTTATTAACTATTCAATATTTTAACTTCCCAGATAGAATTTCACGGCAATGGATAATATATCACAGTGAAATATTTTCCTCCGGATAAAAAAATAACAACAACTTCTGTAACATTTTTTCCCCCAGATGATATTTCATCCGGATAAAATTTTGCTTTACAATATCCCCCATGAGAGGTGTTGACCTGAATTTTGAAATTTTTTATTTTATAAACCATGTAAACTGAACAACTCAAAACAGACATTCAAAGTTTAAAGTGCATTTAAGCACATACATACTCATTCAAACAATATAGTAGTAGATTAAAACACTTATCAAAATAAAGGGGGGGCATAAGTTCATATTGCGCTAAAAATCCCCATGGAGATTTTGAAAAGTTGGCAGGTATGCAACGTTAGCTTGCAAATGGCTCCTTTGTGTTTTTTTTAACTATAAATAGGGATGTCAACAAGTATTCAAGTACTCAAGTATCGCTCAGTAGTACCGAGTGTCGAATACCAAAACGATACTCTACTAATCGGTTTCCTGTTAGAATGGTGTTGCCTTCTTAAACAAAATTGATTTTTATTGAGAACGCTTTTCGTGAAATTAAATACTAATCTTTGATTAATCAAAATTGAACTCCCTTTCGAATGTTTGTGCTTAATTGTCATTAAAAAAAACTCTGGTAACACTTTTGGCTAAATGTGTCTTAGCTATTGCACCACATCTGTACCGTCAAAGCAAATACTTTCGTCTATTGTATTGTTAGTTACTTAACAAAGTTGAGAAATTGCCAGAGAAAGTTTACATAATAATATTTCTAAATAAGAACAAATTCTTTGCACCCTGTGATGACCCTCCGAGAATGGTTAAATGCATAAGTTAGTTCTAATTGGCAAATACTGTTAAAACAACAAACGGTTTATTCAATATTGTTTGTAATTGATATAAGTTCAAAAGTTTTTAAAGTGATAACCAATAAAAACATTATTAATAGAGACTTAGTGGGAAAACTTCAAACAGAAAGTCAACTGATCATTGTTTATTGTGTATTCTTACAGCTTAATTACATGTACTGAGTTTTAACAATGTATCAAATGAACCTCTGAAGTTTTGCAAAAAAATATATAAATAATAATAAAAAAAACATGAAAACTAAACTATTCTCAAATAAAAAGGAAAGAAAACAGTAAAAATACTGTATAGTCACCCATAGATATAAAAAAGAAGATGTGGTATGATTGCCAATGAGACAACTCTCCACAAGAGACCAAATGACACAGAAATTAACAGCTATAGATCACCGTACGTCCTTCAACAATGAGCAAAGCCCATACCGCATAGTCAGCTATAAAAGACCTCGAAATCACAAATGTAAAACAATTCAAACGAGAAAACTAATGTACAAAAAAATCAACGAAAAACAAATAAGTAACACAGCAACAAAGGACAACCACTGAATTACAGACTCCTGACTTGGGACAGACACATACATACAGAATGTGGCGGGGTTAAACATTTTAGCGGGATCCCAACCCTCCCCTTAACCTTGGACAGTGGTGTAACAGTACAACATAAGAAAGAACTATAAAAATTAGTTGAAAAAGGCTTAACTCATCAGATGGATCAAATAGAAATACATAACAAAAATACACAGTGGACGTGAACGGGTACTTGTACATCCCAACAATAAAAAGACATTAAGTACAGGTCTGAGAGTACTCGCAGTTACTGACAGCTGTTTCAAAGCAAATAACAACTAATAAAAAATAAATCATGCATCTTATTATGAATTAGACCTATTAAAATGAGTGTCAAACTCATCTGCCACAAACTGGGTTTGAACTCACAACCCCAGTGTTGACAGGCTAATGATTACTGTAGGTACTTTGACCTTTCTGCCATTGAGACCCCCAATTTTGCTTAAGATGTTATTTCTTAATCATTATACTTAAGAAATTTCTGTCAAAGTTTCATAAAATTCTGTGAAGGTTTAACAAAGTAACTGATGTCTAAAAAAACTTTTATCTCAGACTTTATATCAAAATGATCACTGCAAAAAAAAAACCCCAATCCATTTATCAGTAAAATGCTGTAAAAATAAAAACAAAATATTAAAAATTTTGCTGTTGAGTCTTTAGATCATAAAAATGCCTCTGTCCAAGTTTCATAAAATTCCATGAAGGTTTGACATGTTTGACAAAATTATTGATGTAAAAAAAATACTGGGTAACCACAGACTGGACCTAAATGTGACAACGACAAGACTGACATAATGTAGGGACGAAGGGTTTCTATAGCTTGCTTTCCCGACTTCATCACAGGCTAGAAACATGCTGCTCTATGGTTGATTGTTTAACCTTAAATCTTAAAAAAATTTCTAAGTGCAAATTTTGATAACAATTGGTGTACATTGGTCTTTCCTACATTTGTGTCCAATTCCATTTCCAGACATACAAGATTAGGTAGTTAAACAGTAATTAGGATAATGCTTATTATCTTCCTGTAGTCTTCTGAAACTTTGTAATGAGGAATCTATTAGCATAATCAGACACTAAGGAAACACAAATAATAACTCTTCACATCTGAATAAGAAATTTGCCATTGAACAAACGTCAATGAGAATTCAACCATTAAAAAATAAACCCAAAATATTCAATATCCATTTAGCAAACAACTATGTCGTTTTTTTTAAAGACCTTGACTACCCATGACGGCATGAGGGTCTGGCACGGTCCGAATATATATGAAACAATGTGTTTACTTTAATTTATATTTTTACTGCCACTCTGTTGCTGTCTTTATTTCTTAGCAACCCTGCTCCTGTGGGAAGTTTTACAGATGGAGAGGACGGCCAGCCAGGAGGTTAGAATATTTATTATAGTCATTGTCCATATAATCATTGCCCCCCTCCCTCCCCCCCACACTTTGAGGGTGTGTGTAAATATATAATGTCCTTTCAAAACGCAACAAGATTCAGACTGTTCCTCATAAATCTGGCATACTTAGGACTATTTGTCATCATATTCTCATGACCATACTATACCATGTATACTGTGTTTTTGATTTGATAATTTTTACAAAAGTTATAGGACTTGAACCATGAACCATGTACCAGTAAATCATTTATTGGACTATTGTAACACAATATCACCTTGTGAACACAACTCCTCTTGGACCATTTTACAGAAAACTCTCATACTTGGTATGATTGTTTGCCTTTATCTGTAGTTGACCATAACGCCATTTTGATACAACCATTAATTTTAACAGAATTATGGGACTTTAACTCTTTATTTGCTATCAAACCACAATGAGACCTTGTGAACACAACTCTTCTGAGACTACTTGACAGAAAGCTCTCATAATCATGATAATTTTTTGTACTGTTTTCCATGATCATGATCATGTGTATTTGATAATATATTTTACAGGATTTTTTTTTAACATTTTTTCAACTATTTTACCACAATGACACCATGTTTGAACTATTGAACAATGAAATTGAGAATTGAATGACCATTCCAATAACAGGTAACTTGATTATAAGATACCTTTCCAATTTTGTCTCTTATAATTTGTTGTTCATTTCCACACTTTCTTTCACAAATTCAGTTTAACGCCTGTTCCTCAATATACAGAAACATTACATTTACCTTAAGAAATGACTAGAATAACAGCAACAAATATAAAAGCTTGAAATACTATTCATATTGTAATCTATTTTCCTGTTGTATAAATCTATACTGCACACACAATCTTGTTTCATTTAGAAATCAGAAATGTTTTCTCTGGAAAGTATTTTTTATTATGCCCCCGCCGTAGCGGTGGGGGCATTAAGTTTTACCCTTGTCCATCTGTACGTCCCAAATTGGTTTCCGTTCTCTAACTTGAGTTTGCCTCAACCAAATGTTATGAAACTTATACGCAATGCTTATAAACACAAAACACAGATCAAGTTTGAGTTTTGGTGGTGTCACATTTACCGTTGTTGAGTTATGCCCCTTTACAAATGAAAAAAATGCTGAATTTTTTGTTTCCATCTCTAACTTTAGTTTGCCTCAACCAAATGTTATTAAACTTATACAAAATGCTTATTACCCCAAAATATAAATCAAGTTTGAATTTTGGTGGTATCACTTCAACCGTTCTGGAGTTATGTTCCTTTACAAATGGAAAAATAGGAATCTTATATCTGTTCTAAAAATATCAATGATGTAATTGGTAAAATTATTTTTTTAAATTGGAGTTATCTTCCTTTGTCCATAATTGTAGTTGATTTTAACTATTTCAAAACCTAGGTTACCTAATCAAAATTGGGTAAGTGTCTCATCAGAACTTGTTTTTTTTTCAAAGCTTTTAACAGGCTATTATTTTATTTTTAATTATGGAATTTGCCTAATTTCTTGTGCTTGAAATTTTTAATGAATTCCATGTTTATTCTGTATTATAATGTTTTGTGTGGCACATAACACTTTCCATACAATGTATTTTGTATAGATAGTGTTGTGCGCGGCACAGTACATTCTTTTGAAAATGTGCTATATTCTTTGTAATAAAAAGTGTTGTGCTCCGCACAGAACATTAAAATACAGAATAAACATAAAATTTATTAAAAACCTCAAGCACAAGAAATTATGCAAATTCCATCATTAAAAATAATTCTAAGTTCAAATAATAGCCTGTTTTTTACAGATCTTAGGCCAAACAAGTAAGTGTGTTTCAGGTTTCATATACTAGGTAAGGTACTGTTGTGATGTTAACTTGTAATTATTTTTTGTTTGTTTGTGTTGTTGGGTTACTGTCTTACATCACAACTCCTTTTATTCTGAATGTATAACAAAGTCTGATATCTTAATAATGATTAGTTATACATTAAAAAAATGCTACAAATAATGCAACCAAAATTTTAAATGCAAGTTATTTTTGGCAAAAACTATCTCAATGCTATTTTTGTAATTATAAAATCATTGCAAAATTTCAGAATTAACAGTAGATAGGAAACCTGAAACACAAATATTTGAAAAAGCTTGACTTATGGAGAATCAATCTGATTTCTATCTTTTGTGAAATTCATTGAAATTTTGACATAATTTACCTATGGAATTTTATGAAAATTGTCATGATAAGACTTAAAATGACAGAAAGAACCAAAAAAAGAAAAATTATTCAGAAATTAAAACATGATTCTTTAACCAACCATTATACTTCACAAGTTTGCTTCTTCACAAGTCTCTGTAATTGCACTTGAATTCGCCAGTTTATTTTAGCTTATTTTTTGGGGAATTTCACTTCAACTTCACCATCTTATAGTTAAAGCAAAATTCTGCCAAAATGAATGCTTGAGTACAGTAAACCTGACTTTACTCAAGTATTCATGTTGTATGTGCTTATCTGTTTTTGCTAGTTATGATTAGTGATAAGTTAAGAGATATATAAGTTTATAGATACATAATACTGGCCACTGAAAACACTGAACTAGAATGGCTCAATGTAGTCTGTGCAGCGTAGTTGTGCCCTCTTCTTATCGTAAATGGTGGGTATTAGTGTGGCCTCTTTCATACAGCATACTTTCATGATGTTGATTTCTGCCCGAGTCTTTTCTCAGCTGGTAATTGGTGGGTCAGAATGATAGTTGGCAACTTTGGTGATAATCTTGTAATTGGTTTCAACTGTAGCTGGACGTAACTGTAGGATGTTTCCAATAACGTCTCTCACCTCCTTTACCATGAACCATTCTGTTCTAGTCAAAATCTGCCAAACTTGTTCACTGTGTAGCATCACCAACCCATATAGGTACCCCAAAGCCAAGAAATAATGATGGCAAAAAGTATCTATTTTATTCCCCTTACAGTGAATACTATTCACCGTACAATTTATACGCTTTATTTACATGAATTTCCCCATGGAAACAATAGTTTATTTTGAAATGCAGTGTTGTTCAAGCTTAAATATGATATTACTTTGTTCTATGAAAACGTAAAATGAATAGTTTAAGGATAAATGTGTTTTTAACAAGTTTGAACTCGTCACATGCTTCTTTGAACAGGTACCACCCGATCAGATTTTGATGATTTGAAGAGAGAGAAAGCCAATTGAGTATCATAATCAGTCCTAAATAGTAGCTACATCATTAGGAATCAGTCTCATATAACTTTACGTATCAGCAAAATGTATTTTCTCCTCTATTTGTCAATGAATTATGTCCTTTTTGTCACCTCGAACATGTGAACACTTTACAATTTTAAATACCTTTAAGTAAGTCACAGTTTTGTACGAGAAATGAGTAGGAATTCACTTTCTTACCCAATTATGAGGATACTCTTCAACATTTCTTTTAGGAACCTCATATTCAGGATACAACTTATATTGAAACTTTTCCGTTATGTTTTACCTGTAAATTGGTGCAAAAGCAATATTTATTTTTGGCGCAAATGCAATGCAGCACTCTCTAGTTGAAAACTGTATGTACTCTCTAGTCTTGAGTCTATTTGATATACTTAAAAAACAGTTTCCCAATATTGCATATTTCCACAACATCAAAAAGTTATTTAGCTCTACATGTTACTGTTGAAGGCAATTTGCTCTAATCGTTTCAATTAAAATATCTTGTCAGATTTAAAAAATATTTGGAATTTTATGTTTGAAGTTTTTTGGATTATTTTACCTTAATATTACCTTAGCCGTATTTGGCACAACTTTTTAGAATTTTTGGTTCTCAATGCTCTTCAACTTTGTACTTGTTTGGCTTTATAACTATTTTGATCTGAGCATCACTGATGAGTCTTATGACTATGTAGACGAAACGCGCGTCTGGCGTATTAAATTATAATCCTGGTACCTTTGATAACTATTAACTATCTGGATTAATCTTAGTAGTTTAGACCTTTCATATTCAGGATAATATATTAAAGATCAATAAATATACAATTTTAAAGAGGGAGAAATATTATAACTATTAAAGGAAGGATGAATTTTATTAACATAAAAAAGAAAATTTAAAAGATATTATTTTGATTTTGATTGAATTTTTTTTTGTGAAAAAGACTTTGAATGCAAGCTAAAACATTTTTGTATAGTATTAGGCCTGTTAACCTGATCTTCTGTCTGATGTATTGTCTCTTGGGTGGGACTTTTTTACCATTGTGTCCAGTAAACATGTTTTATAAAATAAATTTACAAGTTCTTTATATTCAATCAGTCCTGAATATCTCGCCCATAAACTGAATTTGCTCAAATTAATTTTCAAATTCAAAAATTAAATCACAAGTTTAAGTTTTATTAAAAAGAATTAAAACATTTCAATTTGTATTTTGAAATAAACGAGGTGCGGTTATTATGACTAACAATCTTTTAAGTAAAAAATTGTATGAAAATATTCCAATAAAAATTAAAATTAGTTGACCTTTCATGAAGAGTTAAATACTCATCTGCAAACATGTTGTAAAGTATTAATGTTATTTATTTACTTAATGTTCAAAAGATCCTCGGTGAAAGTATGCAACCACCCATGTGAGACAAACACATGATTTTTATTTGATTGCTTCATACCTTAACAGTTAATGAATTTTGCAGTGACTGATCAGTATAATCTGCAATCAATTTATGGAATGTGGTTTTTGTATCGTAAAAAATTACTTTCATGACGAAGTCTTGGAATAATTAAGAAATATTGTTGTAGTAACCATTGGATATTCTGTTAATAATGTCAATTGTTTTACCTTTACATTCTACCCCACCCCCTAAAATAGAGGTGCCAAAGTATGCAGGGGACATGCCAGATGAAGATGTAGATCATAATCCAGATGCTGCACCCCCTGAGCCTTCAGCACCTTCTCTAGATGGGTTGAGCCCAATACCTGGGTATCAGAATATAGGATTCTCTGGAGGTAAGATTTGTGTATTGAATTTTAAACAGAAGTTTATCCATTTGTCTGCAGAAGTTGCAGGTTTTGACATTAAGATTAATATACTAATAACATGACTAAATAGAATGAGGGGATATGTGGGGGTGATTATTTTGATACATGTGGCAGTGATTAGATATCAGTTATGATGCTATAAAATTTAAGAAATTAAATCTACTTTTCTTGATAGTAAAACATAACATGATCATAGAACAGTGTCAGAAAATATATACATGTACATTTGATAAATTGGTAGAAAATATAAAATGATTTTTAATTAAAATATTATTTTTTTCATTGAATACAATGCTTCTTTCATCAATTATTGGTCAACTATATGACCTTGGATTGACAAGGGACCAAACATATTCATCATGTTCATTAAATACAATTCAGTTTAGGGGAGATTATCATAATTTATAATTTGATAGATTATATTGATTACCGTTATATTCAAATCAAGAAATCTTTTAAAACTGATGTGAATCCTGAAGAAGGGATATTGATTTATTTAAGAAAATGTCATGTACATATTTGAAGTTCCTAGATGAAAAGAAAACACAATTTGTCATGCATATTTAGTTATTTATTACTTTTAAATACATTTTTGCAATGAATTGACAATCACTCAGCTTTAAATACCAAAGTATTCTTTAAGAAAGTTAAGTGATGAATTCAAGAACATGTAATAAATAATTTTCAAATGTAATTCAGTAATGAAAGTTCTTTTTAAATAATTTGCAAATAATTTTATATACATTGAAGACATTTTAAAGTTCAATTTAACTGCATTATATATAGGAACGGTTTACATTAACTAAAGAGCTAAAATTATTTAAATTAATGCAGCTTACTAGTAATCACTAGGCAAATTTGAAATAACTATAGTTTACTTATTTTTTTATAACTTAATGTATATTCCATATTTTGAGTTGATAACATTATAGATCTTGTTTTTTTCTTTAATTAACTAATCTTAAAGTTTCATCTTTTTCAAAAGACATAAAATTGAATTAGCAAAGAAACTTTAAGATTGATGAAATTAAAATGACTTAGCTATAGGGTGTTCATGTATTTTGATCTTTAAAAACCATTCATAACAAATGGGATACTAAATTTTTTTAGATTTGTTGTATACAGATGAAATATTGTATGCTATCAATTTAATATAAGTCAGAGATATAGATACTCATCATGCTCATTTCACAGATTTTGAACACTGAAAATATCACTTATACCAAGGATTTGTATAATAAACTCTCTCTCTATATATATATGAGCTGCATCTGATAGAAATTGACCTTATGCAGATGAATATCAATACATCTGTAAACCTGTTTCCTGTTGAAAAATCTCTATGCAAAGCATGTGACTGTTTGAAAATTGAGTTGATATAAGAACCCTACAAAATAGACAGAAATTCATCTTTTATTTCCTTTTTGAATGGTCCAAAATCAACCAAAGTATTATACATGTACATGTATACGTGCACTTACATAAGGGCGATTTCTATCCGAGGCAGCTCATATATTACTATACAAATCCTTGAAAATATCACTTATACCAAAGATTTGTATAGTAAACTCTCTCTCTCTCTCTATATATACATATTACTATAAAAATCCTTGAAAATATCACTTATACATTTGTACTATAAAAAGTACTCAGTTTATTTAACAACAAGTAGAAGAAAACTAATGTGAAATAAGGTATCCATAAAACAGATTTTTTAAAAAAACGAAAGAGATGTGGTATGATTGCCAATGAGACAACTCTCCACCAGAGACCAAATAACATAGAAGTTAACAACTATAGGTCACGGTATTGCCTTTAACAATGAGCAAAACCCATACCACATAGTAAGTTATAAAGGCCCCGAAATGACTTTGTAAAATAATTCAAACAAGAAAATTAACTGCCTGATTTATGTACAAAACAATAAACGAAAAACAAATATGATATACAGCAACAAACGACATCTACTGAATTACAGACTCCTGACTTGGGACAGGCAAATACAAAATTTAGTGGGGTTAAACATGTTTGCTGGCACCAAACCATACCCCTAACCTGGAACAGAGGTGTAACAGAAAAACATCAGAACAAACTATAAAAATCAGTTGAAAAGGGCTTATCAGATCGCTACAAAGCACACAAAAACCTAACAAAACCACAACAGACACAAACTACAGATCTGAGAGTAATCACAGTTTCTGAAAGCTAGTTCAAAGCCAACAACAAATAATAAAAACATCATCTATCTAAGACTTAAATATCAGTACACATCCAACATTCAATGGAATTAGTGTAAAGACATCATTAACAGTCAGAGAAAAATATGACCTTCGTGCAATGCAAGCTATAGGTATCAACAGATTGTAGTACTGGGAATGTGCATATGTGTAAAACAAAAATATTTGGTATGGTTTTAATTTACTGATAACATAATCAATATTTATACAGATAAAAACAATATTAAAAGAACTTATCAGGCTTATAGACAGGTTTTTCCAATTATCTGCCTTAGTTTGTGATGCGACTCCTAGGCGTTGTTGAAGTACGATCGCCATTACAACCGTGAAAAAAATGTAAACAAGATATACATCTATTTCCCAGACCGCATATAATTAACGTAAACACAAGAATGTCACGGAAGCGTACTTGACCTCGGCAAAATTACAAAATAAATAATTAATAAAGTAATTAGATAAGGAATGGACATTAAAATTATAAGTGTATTGCAGGCCAGGTGTCGTGTCCTTAAAATATAACTCATTTTATTAGCTCACCTGGCCCGAAGGGCCAAGTGAGCTTTTCTCATCACTTGGCGTCCGTCTTCCGTCGTCGTCGTTGTCGTCGTCCGTCGTTGTTAGCTTTTTACAAAAATCTTCTCCTCTGAAACCACTAAGCCAAATTTAACCAAACTTGGCCACAATCATCATTAGGGTATCTAGTTTAAAAAATGTGTCTGATGACCCCGCCAACCAACCAAGATGGCTGCCATGGCTAAAAATAGAACATAGGGGTAAAATGTAGATTTTGGCTTATATCTCTGAAACCAAAGCATTTAGAGTAAATCTGACATAGGGTAAAATTGATTATCAGGTCAAGATCTATCTGCCCTGAAATTTTCTGACAAATCTGACAACCTGTTGTTGGGTTGCTGCCCCTGAATTGGTAATTTTAAGGAAATTTTGCAGTTTTTGGTTTTTATCTTGAATATTGTTATAGATAGAAATAAACTGTGAACAGCAATAATGTTCAGCAAAGTAAGATCTACAAATAAGTTGTCATGACCAAAATTGTCAGTCGACCCCTTTAGGAGTTATTGCCCTTAATAGTCAATTTTTAACATTTTTTGGTAAATTTTTGTAATCTTTTACAAAAATCTTCTTCTCTGAAACTACTGAGACAAATTTAACCATACTTGGCCATAATCATCATTAGGGTATCTTGTTTAAAAAATGTGTCCAATGACCCTGCCAACCAACCAAGATGGCCGCCATGGCTAAAAATAGAACATAGGGGTAAAATGTAGATTTTGGCTTATATCTCTGAAACCAAAGCATTTAGAGTAAATCTGACATAGGGTAAAACTGATTATCAGGTCAAGATCTATCTGCCCTGAATTTTCTGACAAATCTGACAACCTGTTGTTGGGTTGCTGCCCCTGAATTGGTAATTTTAAGGAAATTTTGCAGTTTTTGGTTTTTATCTTGAATATTGTTATAGATAGAGATAAACTGTGAACAGCAATAATGTTCAGCAAAGTAAGATCTACAAATAAGTTGTCATGACCAAAATTGTCAGTCGACCCCTTTAGGAGTTATTGCCCTTAATAGTCAATTTTTAACATTTTTTGGTAAATTTTTGTAATCTTTTACAAAAATCTTCTTCTCTGAAACTACTGAGACAAATTTAACCATACTTGGCCATAATCATCATTAGGGTATCTTGTTTAAAAAATGTGTCCGATGACCCTGCCAACCAACCAAGATGGCCGCCATGGCTAAAAATAGAACATAGGGGTAAAATGTAGATTTTGGCTTATATCTCTGAAACCAAAGCATTTAGAGTAAATCTGACATGGGTAAAACTGATTATCAGGTCAAGATCTATCTGCCCTGAAATTTTCAGACAAATCTGACAACCTGTTGTTGGGTTGCTGCCCCTGAATTGGTTATTTTAAGGAAATTTTGCAGTTTTTGGTTATTATCTTGAATATTATTATAGATAGAGATAAACTGTAAACAGCAATAATGTTCAGCAAAGTAAGATCTACAAATAAGTTGCCATGACCAAAATTTTCAGTCGACCCCTTTAGGAGTTATTGCCCTTAATAGTAAATTTTTAACAATTTTTCGTAAATTTTTGTAATCTTTTACAAAAATCTTCTTCTCTGAAACTACTGAGACAAATTTATCCATACTTGGCCATAATCATTATTAGGGTATCTAGTTTAAAAAATTTGTCTGATGACCCAGCCTTCCAACCATCATGTCCGACTTGGTAAAAAATAGAACATAGGGATAAAATGCAGTTTTTGGTTTATATCTCTGAAACTAAAGCATTTAGAGCAAATCTGACACGTGGCAAAAATGTTCATCAGATTTAGATTTATCTGCCCTGAAATTTTCAGACAAATCCAACAACCCGTTGTTGGGTTGCTGCCCCTGAGTTAGTAATTTACAAAAATTTTGCAGTTTTTTGTTATTATCTTAGATATCATTATAATATCTAATATCTAATACTATTAATTATGATTTTAACCTTATTTTACATGATTTCCAAAGCATCAGTAAATACAGGTGAGCGACACAGGCTCTTGAGAGCCTCTAGTTTGATACGTTAGCACCGGGACATAATATTTGCGAATATGAATCCCAGGTTACATATCAATTATAATCATTTGGTAATCATAATATTGATTATTATAACACATACATAAATAAAAATAAATTGTCTTGCGGGTCGAATGTGATATATCAGAAAAACCAGGTGCAATTTTATCAAACTCATAAAAAATTTCTGTAGTCATGAAAACCTATAATGAGGCAGTCCTAAAATTCAACAATCTTCTAACCCGACGGTCCTATATTCGACAGCCCGTTTTCTCCGGCGCGCGGTTACTTACATCTTCTGAAAAAAATATACCCAATAGACATGTACCGTTTGATGATAAACTTTTTCACAAAAACGATTTTTTTGCTTGAATGTGGTTCGACTCACGTATACTTCCAAAATTGAGTGACGTTTTCGTGTCACTTTTGTCTCCGCATGAATTGCGCTATATGCTATCAGTGCGTCGGGCCATATGTAGACTTAACTTTGCGATTTAATTCGGCCGTAGAAGTTTTGAACTTTCACGGCCCATGTTATCACATAGTTATTAGGTGTTCGATTCCAATTTCTTTTGTCGAAAAATTACTTGACATGAACTTGACTACTAGTATGCATAGTATAACATCATGCTCCGGCCCGTGCTGAAAATAAATGAATGTCACCAAACCACAAAAGACACAAAGTACGTGTAAATTAAAAGCAATGATTAGAATTATGTTTTAAAAGCGTCATTTAGTGTTTTGCCAATTTCCCCCTCCCCACCACCCCAAAACAGAGGTCTCGTATATTTTCATCCTGAATCTGTATTAGACTCCTTTATAAGTCCCCGATATATATAATACAGTGAAATACAGAATTACAGTATTACATTAGGGATATATATTGGACCATCCCACTAAAGTGAATATATACTTTAAGCACACATTCATTCATACATGGACCATTAAGACGAGGTTTATAGAGAAGTGCCCTTAATAGTAAGTTTTGCTGTGATTTGTCTATGGATGCAGCTGTTTGTAAAACCTTTAAGTTTTTCAGCAAGAACTGGCACCCAGGAATAAAATAGTTTACTAGCCTTACTTTTCGAAATATGAAAGCGCCGTCCCAAATATCCAAACATCAAACTAAGTGTTAACCTTTAAATCAGTACGATCAAGCAACACATGATCTGCAATATCGTAGTTAAAGTAAATTGTGTATTTATTCCACTAAAGTACAGAAAAACTTAGTTACATAAGACAAGTATACAATAAGGCGTAACTGTCATTCATAATATGTCTATGTATACGCTGACGTGGTTTCCTGATTTTATTCAATTTTAAACTCCTTACTCCTTTGTTAACAATATGTTTGTCGGAGTTAATGTTGACGGAACGTCTGTCCATTTTGCAGCCTAAAGATAGTCGTCATGTATAAAAAAATCGTCTCATCATACTTGTTTGATTTGCATCCAATTATAACTACATGCATGTAGCCTCGGGGTAGGTTTCATTATTATTATCTAAAGAAATGTGGAGGAATGGATTTAGGGGGTGCCCAGGCCCCCTTATGAAGCTTCATTCATGGTTAATTCAGACTTTTTACCGCTTCCACTACAAATTGTGTCTTGTTTGGGGACCCGCGGCCCCCCTTTCAAAATCCTAGATTCATCTAATGTGTAGATCTTCTATACAAACAGGCAAATGCACTGTAGTCATTGGATTAATTTTCATAGATAATTTCGTTTGACGACGTGTCAACATTAGTCTGCCAGTGTAATTTTACTTTCATAAAAAGTTTTATTAAAAAAAAAAAGGGATTGTGTGCAGATGGCACATCTTGTATAGTTCACATATTTTATTTATTGATTTTTTTTGCACATCTGAAATTTTCTACAATTATTTGGACAAAATGCCTCCACCTTTTTTTTTATAACTTTCGGCAGTATCCAAAGTGAAATAAATAAGAAAATGAAGGAAATACAAATGTAAACAGAAAATCGTTATAATGTTTTGATCAATACATGTGCGTTATTTTTCACAGTTGTAATGGCGGATCGGTCACGTGAGAGGTTAATGGATGCGCCCATGTTTTCTAGGTCAATTATAGATAAACCCGTCTATTGCAGTGTTGCATTATTAATCTTTAAGAATATTTAAAGGATCAATAAGTTTTCTTGGATCATAACTATATTTACTGACTTAGTAAACAACATCCCCATAAAAATTAAGATGTGCTATCCAATTTGCAATTAGTTTTCTACAGATACAGCCAAACTTCCAAACCAAATCTTTGTATTTATGGATGAATTTAGGAAAGGTTTTTAGTAATTTGTGGTAACGATATCTTTGACTTAATAATTTACCAGTAATACATAGATTACTACCTGGAAATCCAAAACATCACTACAGACATGGGCATAATGAGCTAGTTGGGATGTATAAACACAGTAATGTGGTGCTAGAGGAACATCACCGTCTAAAAAAGGCAAATTAACAATAGGGAAAAGTCAAAACTGACAACTGAATTAAAAGGTCCATCAAAAGTACATAATTTATCTAAAACATCCAAAGAATTTTTACACTTCAAAAATAGTTAATTCCACTATTTTCATGTTTTATTACAAAAGTTAATGATATTATTAACATGAAAATACAAATGCAGTGGGTTTCAACGTTTTAACAGGCGCCAACCTTCACCCTAACCTGAAACAGTAGTGTAACATTACAACATAAAAAGACACAATAAAATATCAATTGAAATGGCTGAACTTGATCAAAAAGACTTATAAACAAAAACAAGTAAATATACACTGAACAAATAAGTTTGATCTATGACACAATATAAATACAATATTAATAAAAAATATGTAACATTATGTCAAAAAGACAACTTTAAACCTATGACAAAATGGCATTAAATAAAGTAACATACACAGATAAATTTAATCATGATAATTTTGTTGTTAGGAGTACAGAAACATTTTTTACAAAATTAATAAATTTGTTGTTCACAGTACGAGTACAGAAGTGAAAATTTATCGTCATACTTAATACTTATCAAGGGTGGTACATATTAAAAATATTGAGACGAGATATAACACAAATTAGTAAACATTGAATAACAGAAATACATTACAAATTGTGTCAACAGGTCAAATTAACATGAAAGTACATGGTATGATTTTCCATCCTATTTTCAATCTTATTCAATATCGTTACCCAGCTGCAGGTAAACCGAACAACATTCTGTTCACACAATACGATTTTCTATTTTATTAACCAAACAACATCATAGTTAAAAATTGGAAAATAAAATTATGTACTTTGTTAACCCGCCTTGAAATGATAAAATGAGTTTATCTACAGTAATAGTTACAATGTAAAACCTGACAGAATTTTGTCTATGATGAAATATGTTAAACAAGGGTTATCTCCCATTGACTAGATTTTAAGATATAATTTTCTTTTTAATATCTGTGATTTTTACTTTCTCTACTAACTTTCACATTAAGCTAAAAACAGAAGAAACAAATCTAAAATTATTTTTTTTTATTCTTTCAGATTTTTTACCACCTCCCCCATGTGCAGATGTAGTGCAGCCACAGGAAGAGAGAAAAGATATAACCAAGTATGTTTACAAATCTATGGTAGAGTTTATTTAAATTTATTTTCTGACATTGGACTTTGTCCAACTCTACGAAGGACATATTGTCCATTACTGCACCAACAGTTAGGTTCCAAAGCTAAAACAATGTCTACAGAAAAGTATGATGAGTTTTGTTTTTTTGGGGATGAAAATGCTTAATTATTTACATTACCTGGTTAAGTGTGAGCTATTTCCATTGCTTGGCTTCTGTTGTCTACTCTTTGTTAACTGCCTACCAACATGGCAGCCATGGTAAAAAATTGTGAACATGGGGTAAAATACAAGTATTGTCTATTTTTTTGTAAACCATTATAGATATAGAAAATTTAACAGGGTGGAAACGTCATGAATGTCAAGATCTATCTACTATCCTTTCAACTAAAACTGTTAGACCATTCCTTTTAGGCCCTTGAAGGATGATTTTTTACAAGATTTTGGGCTTCTAGCTACTATATACATGTAGTATATGTAGGCATGTATGGTGAGAGGTCGTCAATGTTCACTTTAGGATGACCTTGACATGTCCACATCAGTTCTCCTTCTTTGTTTAGGTTTACAATTCTTGCTTTAGAATTATTTCGTTCCCAGTCAATAACTGAAATATTGTCATGTGAATTTGTATATATATATCCTCATAATCTGAGTGAAAAGTTGGTTCTTGCTATCAGAGCTGAATATGAAGTTTGCCATCTATTAATGATAGCTTTTCTAACTGGTGTTGACCATTGTCTCCAAAAAATCCAACAAGAATATATTGATCTCTGGCAATATGTATTGCAGTTGGTCACCTAGGTTTCATGTCTTTTAACTTGGTTAATTCTACACTTTTAGTAAGATGAAAAATTATTCTGTCAGAGGCACATAATAATTCATTTTTGTGCAGTACATCAGTGCCTTCTGAATTCTTTTGTAAGATTACTGGTAGTCTTATTATTTTCAAGTTGTATGTTCATTACTTTGTTTCTGTCATCATAAAAAGAGTTTATAAAGAAGGAACCATTAGCACATTTTCTTATTTCAAGGATACCACAAACTTGTGTTTCATATGTTTTAGCTACAACAAATTTGATTTCAGCTACTGGTACAGGAATGTTTTCCTCCTGCACTGATCTTTTTATCTTTCTAAGGTTTTCTGTCTGTAAAATTTACTCAGTAAATCTTGATGACTTTAGAGGAATCAGGACTTTCTGTTCATTTAATATGAGATACCGGTAACTATATTTTGCAAAAATTGCCCTTTTGAGAAGTTTTCCTATATCTGTTGCTTCTTGACATTGTTTGATCACCCTTATTTCTTCCGGGTTTTTTGTTTTCCTTTCATCTAAATTCTTGCTTTCTTACAATATTCAATTGTTTGTTGTGTCCCAGCTGTTATCCAGTTCAGAGTAAAGTTTGTTAATGTGTTTCTTTACTTCATCTTAGATAACGGTACTGTGTTTAAAGCAATGTTGGCATCAATTGGGATTCACAAATATCTGTCATACAGGCTTTTAGGCATTCACTTTAAAACATCATATGGGACTCAAATAGGCAGTTGATGCCACTTCAACATGTGGTATTTAGTTATCTATACCTTTTTCCATGATACCTATTCTTACACCGGACTTGGACTTCTTTTAAACTGAGTTTTACTGTGCGTATTGCTGTGTGTTTATTCTTCATTGGCTAGAGGTATAGGGGAGGTTTGAGATCTCACAAAAGACGTTTAACCCCGCCACATTTTTGTGCCTGTCCCAAGTCCGGAACCTCTGGCCTTTGTTAGTCTTGCATGTTTTTTTTTAATTTTGGTTCTTTTAATATGTTTCGGAGTTAGTGTGACGTCCATTTTCTCTGAATCAGTATACATTTTTGTTTAGGGGCCAGCTGAAGCCAGCCTCCGGGTTTGGGATTTTCTTGCTGTGTTGAAGACCCATTGATGGCCTTGAGCTGTTTTTTGCTCTTTGGTCGAGTTGTTGCCTCTTTAACACATTCCCCGTTTCCATTTTAAATTCATTTATCAGTATCCAGTATATAAAATAGTACCATGATTTAAACAATTATTGTTAATGCTTATAAAAGACCTTTGATAGATGATACCACATAGGTTTTATATGGGGTATAAGTCAATGAGACAGCAACCCAACCAAATCAAAACTTTTTTTAATAACTTCTTTCTTTTACCTTATGTCTACATATATCTCAGATTTCATGTTATTGTATGTATTGCTTGTATTTATAGTCTCTACCTTAATAAATGTATTGGACAAAACATACAAAATGCATTTGAAAATTATAAAATGAAAAGAAAAGTTATGACTGAAACTGTTAGAACAACCTATTAATGACTTTCAAATTCATGCTTTTTCAATGTCACAATGCTTATGTTATTACGTCACAGCAAGAGTCGATTGTTCAATGACTTCATTTACGTCTATTGACCTTTGGTCAAATTACATATCTCATTTATAAAAAGAACTCGAAATTGGTCTTTACAATCTCAACTATTCTCATTTAGTTCATGTAGTTTGAGCTACACGTTTCCTGAAAATTTGGCAAATTCATTCCTTTAGTTTCACAGATATATAATAAAAATTAAATTAGGAAGACTCATGTATAATGGGAAGACACTTTTGCTTTAGTGAATGGAAGAATTTCAGTTTTGCAGTAATTAAATAACAGCAAGATGAGGTAAGACAACCATTTGAACAATATAAACTTTGAGAAACTGTTGCTTTGGTAACTTGAAATTTTTTATTGTTTTTTGCAGTGTATCAGTAATAAAAGATGAGGCCAGATAAGCATTGAAAGTTTTTGTCTAGAAAAACTGTTGCTATGGTAACTTGAACTCTTTTTATTGTTACAGTGTATCAGTTATAGGAGAAGATGAGGCCAGACAAGCATTGAGACTGTATGTAGGAGAGAACTGTTGCTATGGTAAAAAGCCCGTAGAAGAATTAACGTTTACAGAATTACAGTCATCTAATGCATTTCATGTAAGGTTATTGGGTAATATTATAGGATTAAACACATTTTTTATACAGGTTATTGATGTGAAAACTGGGGCGATTAACTCACAAACTGAATAAAAGTCCTTTGGACTTTTATGTAAAGTTCGTGAGTCAGCGACCCAGTTTATGCATCAATAACTACTAGAAAAAATGTGTTTAATCTTTATAATTCTTAACCCAAACATTTGCAATTTTTCATTACAATTTTTGGTACATTGGCTACTATTTACCATCAAATGTACAATTGACATTTCGTAACTAAGGAGTTAGCCGCCATATTGACTTTCTGAAATTCATTAATGTTGGATTAATGCAATAAAATCTATAATGAAATAACACCTACCTCAAAAACTTTATTTTAATGAGATATTATCCAAATTTGAAGCATACAAGAAACATAATAATCTTCATCTTGAGAGTGTTCTTTCGTATAACATCAAGTTTTCCCACGATGTTAATGTGGCAAGCTTATTCATGAAATTTCGCAGCATTAATTTCCCAGCATTTTATTTTATTATAAATTTATACATTTTCCAAGCTTTAACGCATAATTTCTTTTTGTTATTCATTAGAACAGAAATAACAGAAATGTATTTGTTTTTTCAACCTCAGTTTGCTTGAACCCCTTGGTCTCATGCGTCTGTATCGTGCATGAATAGATCATAGTGTAGGTTACGAAAATACTTTCGGCAACATGGTCTATCGAAGTGTAAACCAAAGGTAAAAATCGGACCAATACAATTCAAGTATTTGTAGGTATGCAAATAATATTTTTAAGAATTATAGCTTAATGTGTGCTTTGTTGTGGTCATAATATTGAGAGAAATATCATGCAGTAGTTTTTGAACTGCTTTTAAATTGCCATTATTAATTTATAAAAATTAAATTCTCATTTTTACAAAAGAATAAAGTCTACATGAACAGCTTGTTACATTTGCGTGAAAAAAACGCATTACGTTTGCATGAAATTTACCTGTTAAAGAGTCACTGCGTTTGCACGGATTAATTAAAAAAAAAAATCTTGACTTTTTATAAACAAATAATGATTTCTAAAATTCAACAGATTTATTTTTAATTAAAAAGAAAAAAAATGAAATTAATTTAAACTAGCTGTTTTATCAGCCATCTTACAGATACATGTTAATGACTGAGCTGTATTCACCAATTGTCCACCCAGATGCAAGTTGAAAGTCCACTAACAAGATGATCTCCTTCTTTTTATTTTCATCTATGAGATAAATAAAGGAAAAAAGTCCTTGATTTTTTATGGGTATTCTTTATATAGATACTAAGTTGAAAAATGGAGACATTTCCTAGAAATGTGCAAATGTAGAATTATGACTGACCGAGAATGTAAATTGTTACTAACGAGCACAATGAAACCTTTCTTCAGTACAATAATTCTAATGATGGGATCGTGATTTTCACATGTGCTTCAAATCTCGCACTTTTGTGTGACTCAAATGATGAATATTTTTTTATTGAAAACAGAAATGGAAATGCTTGTAAAGTGCAAAGATAATCTCAAAATTCAGTTTGCTGTTCCACAATTTTTTGTCTCTCCTGCTACGAAAGTGGCAGTCTGCGAGACTTAGGTATTACTATCTGGCGGAGGCGTAAACTATTTTTATAAAGCTTCATATTTCAGAAGATAGAAGACCTGGATGCTTCATATCTTTATGCAGATACCTTATGTTACGGTGTTTCCATCTGTCATATGTCCATTGTCCTTGACCTCATTTTCATGAAGCGACTGCTTGAAAAAAAAATATATTTTTTTTTGTCATGTGAATTTCTCACTTATTATTAGTAATAGGATAACGATATTTGGTATATGGGTTCCTTGCAACGTCTACATGTCCGCCAGACAGGGTACACCTGACCTCAACCTCATTTCATGGATCAGTGATTAGGTCCATTTCTCAAATACTATAAGCAGTAATATGTGGTGTATGGAATGTGTCAGTCTTGGAGATTTCATCTGACCTTGAAATCATTTCATGGTTCATTGGTCAATGTTAAGTATTTGTGTTTTGGTCTGATTTTCAAGTACTATAAGCAATAGGTCAACTATATTTGGTGTATGGAATGATTGTTAGGTGTACATGTCTGTCTGTCAGATATCATCTGACTTTGACCTCATTTTCGTGGTTCATTGGTCAATGTTAAGTTTTTGTGTTTTGGTCTGTTTTTCAAATACTAATAGTAATAGGTCAGCTATATTAAGTGCATGGAATAACTGTAAGGTGTACATGTCTGTTTGGCAGGTATAATCTGACCTTGTCCCCATTTTCATGGTTCATTGGTCAATGTTGAAGTTTTTGTGTTTTGGTCTGTTTTTCAATTACCATAAGCAATAGGTCAACTATACTTGGTGTTTAAAAAAATTGTAAGGTGTATATGTTTGTCTGACAGGATTTATCTGACCGTTAAGTTTATGTGATACTTTTAGTAAAACCTTTATCTAACATAAAATCAATGGTCAGTAAATCAGGCAAGACATTTCAGCGTGTGCACTCTTGTTGAAATTTCAAACTGGGGAAATTTCCAACCAATGTTATCTGAAATCATTAGGGTACAAGCAACAGGCAAGGACTGATTTATATATGGTTCCTGTAGATATCATATACATGTATACTGTGTTTTATTCATGACTGTATAGTTTGAATGTTTCTTTCCAGGATATTCACTGTATTTTTTTCAAAGATTTTCTTTTACATACATGTAAATGTAGTACTTTTTAATGATTATATAAGGGAATAAAGACTACTCCTCTAATATAAATAATTATCAATATAAGAAATAAGAAGATGTAGGATGATTGCCATTTCATGATCCAAACGAAAAACAAATATGATAGACAACAACCAACAACATAACTCATTTGCCTTAAAAAAAATGTAGAATTCAGGTTATTTTCAGGATTAAATCACAAGTAAAAACTCAGGTAAATTACAGGTATATTCCAAAAACATAACAACATTTCTTGGCACAAAAGTAATGCTTGTCATATTCAAATTTGTGCAAATGTAGGTAAGGCTGCCACCGTGCCCTCAATATATGAATTTGAGCAGTTACTTATAGGCAAATTATATAGTATTTAAGTGCTATGGAAAAACATAAATTATTTGGGTGAAAGAAGGGAGACAGTAAAGACCTTCAAGGATTGGAGACAAGTTCTGAAGGATAAACTTTGGGGCCATTCTTAAATTCTTATTGGAACATAACTTTGCATGGAATTTCGTTGGAAAAACGTACATACAACATACTTGTTAAAATGCTCCAGAGACTGAACATGCAAATTTAAGTTTGAGTTAAAGTAACTTGTAGCTATATATAAAAATGAGGAATGGTAATATGATTGCCAATGATACAACTATCCATAGACCAAAGATAAAGATGTAAACAATTAAAAAGTCACTATATGACCTTCAACAATGAGCAAAGCCTATACCTTATAATAAGCTTTAAAAGGCTGAGATATAACAATTTATGAAACATTAAAAGGAGAAAACCAACACCCTGATTTAATACTACAACAATGAATCAAAAACTGATAGCAACCATCAACAAACACTGGATTACAGGTTCCAAGCTGGACTTTTCTTTATGCTAAATACTCAAAGATAATTAGGATTGACAGTGAAAAATGTTGGAGTATAGGTATAGGTAACAAATAAATTAAATAGCAACCAAACACAAAAACTAAACGACATGTAGACTAGAGGTCAAAAATTGGTGTCAATTGAATAAGTAAAGCTGTGAATAAAAAACATTAGCCTGTTTTGTCTAAATCACATAAACAATGTGAATAATAAAGTTGGTTGTTATGGAAATTCAAGAATGATTCTGCAGAAATAGTTGCACAAATGCTGTCAAAATTTTTTCAGATTAGTATGTGAGCTTCTTGTTGCTGTCATTGAAAACATTTTTACATAAATTTCACATCCCTAAGTATGTATATACCCAGTGATGGTGATTAAGAATGCCTTGAACCCCTAGATACTCATCAGATTTATATTTTTACAGTATAGTTTAGACACATTCACAGAAGCACGATCCACAGAATGGGATTTTGTACCATATATGGGTAAGTATGAGTTATAAGAATAAGGATAATTGGCCAACTTAAATTAATCAGTAGATTTTTATCCAGCTAGTTGAAAATAATTAGGCGGATGGGAGCATTTTATTTTTTAAACTCACCTTTCCAAAGGAAATGTGAGCTTTTGCCATCACTTGGCGTCCGTTGTGTCCGTCGTCGTCCATCCAGTGTAAATTATTTCAAACATCTTCTCCTCTGAAACCACTGAACCAATTCCAACCAAACTTAAGCTGAATGATCCTTAGGGTATTTTAGGGAATAAACCTTGTGTTTAATTTTTCTGTTTCGTCAAAAAACATGGCCGCCATGGCTAAAAATAGAACATAGGGGTAAAATGCAGTTTTTGGCTTATATCTCAAAAACTAAAGCATTTAGAGCAAATCCTACTGGGTAAAAATGTTCATTAGGTCAAGGTCTACCTGCCCTGAAATTATCAGCCAATCTGATTTTTAGGTTATTGCCCCTGAATTGATGATTTTAAGGAAATTTTGCAGTTTTCAGTTATTATCTTGAATATTATTATAGGTTAAGATAAACTGTAAACAGCAAAAATGTTAAGCAAAGTAAGATCTACAAATAAGTTTATCTGACCAAAATTGTCAATTGATCCCTTTAGGAGTTATTGTCCTTTAAAGACAATTTTTCACAATTTGTTCATCTAGTTTGCTTACTTTAAAAAATCTTCTCCTTTGAAACTGCTGAATCAATTTCAGCCAAACTTGGACTGAATGAGTGTCAGAGTATCTAGTATAAATTTTATATTTTATTTCCTTGTACGTCAAGAAACATAGCCAATAGGGGTAAAATGCATATTTTTGCTTTTGAAGAAAATATGACAGATACGAAGAACATTTTAATGGCATTTTTAAGCCACTCATTAATATATATTGAAAAGCAAAAATAATCATTGATGAAAGATTTAAGCAAAAAAATATAGGTAAGCGATTCAGGCTCTTGAGAGCCTCTTATTTATTTTTATTGTGTTCTTCACATGCAAGGGTAATAATAAGATTATATCATGTATGTATTACGAATTCTGCATACTTTTTCAAATTCTAAAATAAATATTTCTGATTAGCAACCACTGTTTGCTTTAGAAACCTTTTTTCAGTAAGTAGCAAAAATGTGGAGAAATGCTCTCTTTTGGACTACCTACATCAAATTTCTGTTGCTTTCTAAGCTATGGTTTACAGTGCCCATGAGCATTGGTGTGAATCACAAGTTTTATGAGTACAGAGTAAAATGAAAACTCAAACTTATGTCAAAAATCCAGGGTTGATGCTTTTGATTCTTTTGTAAAGTGCAAATATAATTTTTATTAACTAGTTATAAACAGAGAGTTGATGAATTCTTCTAATTTGCATAAATATGGGAAAGTTAATATTTTCCTGTCAGAAATTCTAAAAATTATTTCTATAAAAATTAAATAAATGATCACAAAATGCCATTAACCATTGCTTAAAGATGAGTTTTGAAAACAAGGACAGACTGACAGACAAAAAAATTCGTAAGGGTTCCGCGGAACCCAGTGTCTCGCCTACTTTTTGCTGTTAATCACAGGCTCAGCAAAAATGAGGAAAAAAATTAATAAAAATATTCCTCTCTATACTATCTTTTGATTGTAAGTAGCTTCTGTCCAAGTTTGGTAAAAATCCAGGATAGTTTATGAATCTAATAAATGTTTTAAAAACTTAAACTGCAGACTGTATGTAATGTTAACTGGAAGAAAAACTAAGTCCATTTATAAGTAAAATACGGAAAAAATGGAACAAAATTTCCTTCTAGATACTAGCTTTTGATCATAAACAAGCTTCTGTCTAAGTTTGGTACAAATCCAGGATAGTTTAAGAAAGTTGTTAAAATTTTAAAAACTTTAACCACAGAGTGAATGTAATGTTAACTGGCAGAAAAACTAAGTCCATTTATAAGTAAAATACGGAAAAAATGGAATTTTTTTTTTACAAAATTTACTTCTGGATACTAGCTTTTAATCATAAACAAGCTTCTGTCCAAGTTTGGTACAAATCCAGGATAGTTTAAGAAAGTTGTTAAAATTTTAAAAACTTTAACCACAGAGTGAATGTAATGTTAACTGGCAGAAAAACTAAGTCCATTTATAAGTAAAATACGGAAAAAATGGAATTTTTTTTTTACAAAATTTACTTCTGGATACTATCTTATGATCATAAACAAGCTTCTTTCCAAGTTTGGTAGAAATCCAGGATAGTTTAAGAAAGTTATTAAAATTTTAAAAACTTTAACCACAGAGTGAATGTAATGTTTCCTGGCAGAAAAACTAAGTCCATTTATAAGTAAAATACGGAAAAAATGGAATTTTTTTTTTACAAAATTTACTTTTGAATATTATCTTATGATCATAAACAAGCTTCTGTCCAAGTTTGGTAGAAATCCAGGATAGTTTAAGAAAGTTATTAAAATTTCAAAAACTTTAACCACAGAGTGAATATTTGTGGACGCCGCCGACGACAACGACGCCGACGACGAAGACGACGACGACGACGGAATGTAGGATCGCTATGTCTCGCTTTTTCGACAAAAGTTGAAGGCTCGACAAAAACGAAAAAAAATGAGGAAAAAGAACTAACAGACATATACAACAAAGTTGAACAAACACAGGAATAAACTAACAAACAAAAAATTAACTAAGGGGTTAAAAAAGAGCTTGCTCACCCAATCCTATGCAGTGCAAACAATGTTAAAGTTAAGCTATAAAAGGTATTCGCTTCAAAGTTCATCTACACCAAAGGTCTAGCGTGTGCTTGTGTCATCACTGGGAGTCTGTTTTTAATCCTTGAAATAGATATTTACCTCAAAAATCACTGGACCAATTTAAATCAAACATAGACTGCATCATCCTTATGGAGTATATTTCAAAACTTACCATGTCAAATGACCCTGTTATCAAACCCAACATGATCAAATGCCAAAAAATTGCAAAAAAACGATATCCTCCAAAAATCTTTTAAAAAATCTAATGGACTAATTATATCAAACTTGAAGAAAACAATTCCATTTTGAGCTTCTTTAAAAAGAATGATGGTTGATGAACCTATCTGGTTAAATGTGGCTGTCATCATTATTAAAACTAAGAAGTTTGACAAAATAGCAATATAAAAAAATTCAGAAAAATCATTTGAAACCTTTGGTTAAATAATACTCTTATGATCCTCTTTAATAATTATGGGCAATGACCAGTTAGCTCGTAAATATAGTTTGATTCAAAATGTAGAAGATGAAATTAATATGAGTAATGTATGGGATTCTATACAGACTTTTGAAAAAGAATCTTGGCATCATGAAGTATGGAATGATAAAAATAATGTCAATGGTAATAAATTAAGATTTTATAGATTGTTTAAAACTTGTATTGGTACGGAGCCTTATGTAAAGGTAGTTAATAATAGATGCCACCGACGTATTTTGTCACTTTTCAGAGCTGGTTCGTTACAACTTAAAGTTGAAACAGGTCGATATGCTAGACCACCAGAACCTCTACAAGACCGTTTATGTATTTTTTGTGATAGTGGCCAAATTGAAGATGAAAAACACTTTCTTTTTAATTGTTGTTTTTACTCTGATATCAGACATGAATTTTATGCCAAAGCCTGTCTTTTAAATGTTGATTTTGATTATTTATGCGATATTGAAAAACTTCGTTATCTTATGTGTAATGAGAATATGGTTCCTCTTTTAGCTAGTTCCCTTTATTATATGTTTTACCGACGTAAACATGTCATCTAGAAATATATATGTTTTTTATTTATTTTTTTTTTTTATTTATGAAATACTTTTTAAATGTAACAAAGTTGTCCTTTTATGTATGTATTAGATGTTTGTTTTAATGATAGTGTCTCAAAAGTCGTTTTTGGCTGGCATCCTTTTACTAAATGTTAGGTTCTTATGATTTTATGTGTATATATATAGATACTGTAATGGATGGTGACACTTTAATAAAATAAATCTTATCTTATCCTTATCCACATAAAAAAATTACTGCTACTAAAAAATAAAAGATTGGAACAAAACAAGATTATTATAAAAATCATGTGATTGCTTCCAAAATTTGGTTAAATGATATTTTTATGATCCTCTTTAACAATTATCATTGATGACAGCATCCCCTTTAAAATAAACTTGGCTGCCATCATAACTAAGAATTTAAAAGGGACAAGAAAATTCTGTCAAATCATACAAAGTATTGAATGCTTTGAATCTTTTGCTTATATTGACCATCCCTTTTGTACCTGCGATATATGCCTGCTTGGTGTAAAGTTTAAGAAGACTATTAGATGGACCAGAGAACAGATTATCCCTGTTCCAAGGGATGTAAATGCTTATGTAGTATAAAGTTTTGTTTTGACCTTTCAGGAGGACCATTAGATGGACCAGAGAATGGACCAGCCCCTGGTCCATGGGATGTACCTGCTCAGTGTAAAGAATTATTTAAAGATGAAAAGAGAGATTTAGAAGTTCCACATACAGCTACAACTAAAGTAAGATAGGGGTGTTACATTAAAGACCAAATGTTGTTCAAATAGAATAGAAATTTCAAAAATATGTAAATATAAAAATAAGAAGAAGTGGTAAGATTGCAAATTATACAACTCTCCACCATAGACCAAATGACATAGAACTTAACAACTGTAGGTCACTGTATGGCCTTCAACAAGGAGCAAAACCCATACCACATAGTCAGCTATAAAATTCCTCTAAATGGCAAATGTAAAACAATTCAAAGGAGAAAAAGTTTGCATCTAAGATAATGGAAAAGAAAAGATAATATCTTATGAATATTCGAGATTTTAAGATAGAAAGATAGCATAAACATAATTGGTCTTCAAAATTAGATTTTAATTTTAGAATAATGTAAAGTATTGAAAAATAAATTTGTTCGTTTTTGAATAATATCAGAAATAAAGTTTGTTGTTACAATAGAAATTCCAGGATGGTAATGCAGGTATATTAAACAGATGCTGACATCTATTTAATCATTGATCACAATATTTTCAGTTCTGAAATTATATTACAGATGCAATACAGATATATATATATATATAATAAACTTTTCAAAATTTAATCGCACTATGAAAATAAAGGAATTTATTGTTGATGTATGATTCACAAATTATTTTTTTTTAATTTTAGCCTTGCCACAATTGTTTTGCAGTTGGTTTTGTAAGATGTTGGCACTGCCATGGTAGAGGACAGGTAAGCTAATGTAAAAAGTTTACCTAGGGCTCAATTATTGTTTCTCCTGCATATCATGATGGAGAAAAACATATAATTAGTCTCCCGCAGCTAGGCGAAATGGCATTAAGTGTTACCCTTGTCCGTCAGTCCATACATCCATACGTACGTCCCAAAATTAGTTTCCGTTCTCTAACTTTAGTTTGCCTGAACCAAAAGTTATAAAACTTATACACAATGCTTATTACCATAAAACACAGATCAAGTTTGAATTTGTGTAGTGTCACTTTTACAGTTCTCTAATTATGTCCCTTTTTAATGTTATATGCATGCGGGGACATCATCTGTGTTCCATGGAAACATTCTCCATTTATTTTTTCATGCTTTTTCCATTTTTCTTTTTTACAAAAGTCATTTGAAATGAGTTTCTGGTAATTATTATGCTGAAGAAATTTTTGAACAAATGCATGCATATATAATGTACTAATTCCTCTGTGTATGTTTTACCACTTATTATGAATCCATAACGTATAATAAACAAAAAAAATAATTCATTAGGCGAGTGATCATCAAAAACAATGGCTGCTTATTAACTTTCGGGTTTTGAGGCCAAAGTATAACGATTGTGACACTTTAACAATCAACACAGAAAGGTAAGCACATGTATAGTAAGTAAGATTTTATGATAGAGCGATGTTTTTTTGTTTTTATGCCCCCACCGTAGCTAAGGGGGCATTAAGTTTTACCCTTGTCCATCTGTACGTACGTCCCAAAATTGGTTTCCGTTCTCTATCTTTGTATTATTGGAGAATTAAGGAAAGGTTTTTATGCCCCCGCCGAAGCAGAGGGGGCATTAAGTTTTACCCTTGTCCGTCTGTCCGTACATATGTCCCAAAATTGGTTTTCGTTCTCTAACTTAAGTTTGCCTCAATCAAATGTTATGAAACTTATACACAATGCTTATTACCACAAAATACAGACCAAGTTTGAATTTTGGTAGCATCACTCTAACCGTTCTAGAGTTAAGCTCTTTTATCAATGGAAAAATTACAAATTTTTTAGTTTCCATTCTCTAACTTAAGTTTGCCTCAACCAAATGTTATGAAACTTATACACAATGCTTTTTACCACAAAACACAGATCAAGTTTGAATTTTGGTGGCGTCACTTAAACTGTTCTAAAGTTATGCCCCTTTATAAACGGAAAAATTGCAAAATTTTTAGTTTCCGTTCTCTAACTAAAGTTGCCTCAACCAAATGTTATGAAATTTATACACATTGCTTTTTACCACAAAACACAGATCAAGTTGAAATTTGGTGGCGTCACTTTAATAGTTATCATATTATGCCCCTTTATAAATGGAAAAATTACAAAATTTTTAGTTTCCTTTCTCTAACTTAAGTTTGCCTCAACTAAATGTTATGAAACTTATACACAATGCTTATTACCACATTACTCAGATCAAGTTTGAGTTTTAGTGGCATCACTTTAACCATTCTAGAGTTATGCCCTCTATAAATGGAAAAATTACAAAATTTTTAGTTTCCGTTCTTTAACTTAAGTTTGTTTCAACCAAATAGTATGAAACTTATACACAATGCTTATTACCACAAAATACAGATTAAATTTGAACTTTGGTAGCATTACTCTAACCGTTCTAGAGTAATGCCCCTTTATCAATGGAAAAATTACAAAATTTTTAGTTTCCATTCTCTAACTTAAGTTTGCCTCAACCAAATGTTATGAAACTTATACACAATGCTTATTACCACAAAACACAGATCAAGTTTGAATTTTGGTGGCGTCACTCAAACTGTTCTTGAGTTATGCCCCTTTATAAATGGAAAAATTGCAAAATTTTTAGTTTCCGTTCTCTAACTTAAGTTTGTCTCAACCAAATCTTATGAAACTTATACACAATGCTTATTACCACAATATACAGATCAAGTTTGAATTTTGGTAGCGTCACTCTAACCGTTCTAGAGTTATGCTCCTTTATAAATGGAAAAATTACAAAATTTTTAGTTTCCTTTCTCTAACTTAAGTTTACCTCAACCAAATATTACGAAACGTATACACAATGCTTATTACCACAAAACACAGATCAAGTTTGAGTCTTAGTGGCATCACTTTAACCGTTCTAGAGTTATGCCCCTTTATAAATGGAAAAATTACAGAATTTTTAGTTTCCTTTCTTTAACTAAAGTTTGTCTCAACCAAATATTATGAAACTTATACACAATGCTTATTACCACTAAATACAGATCAAGTTTGAATTTTAGTGGCATCACTCTAAACTTTCTAGACTTATGCCCCTTTATCAATGGAAAAATTACAAAATATTTAGTTTCAGCTCTCTAACTTAAGATTGCCTCAACCAAATGTTATGAAACTTATACATAATGCTTATTACCACAAAATACAGATCAAGTTTGAATTTTGGTAGCATCACTCTAAACTTTCTAGACTTATGCCCCTTTATAAATGGAAAAATTGCAAAATTTTTAGTTTCCTTTCTTTAAAGGGAAAATTCGCGATTTTTTACTTTTCATCTTATTATGTTCATAATACCATAAAAAACATATTCACCAAGTTTTATCTGGATATGAACACTAATAAAGAAGAAAATTGGGAATTAATAATTTAATTTATTCGAACTTCCTGACTTATGTGACGTAGTTTAAGTCTTTTTGCATGCCGGGAGTGAATAAATCTCATTGTAAATCTTGTTCGTTAATCATCTAATAACGCGATTGAAAGCGCATCGACGACTGTTGGTGTAGCTATTAACCAACTAATAATTGAGAAAGTAAAGTGATCAGCCGTGCAACTTTCAAAATTAAAATGTACGATTTATATTTAAAGGATTTCTGATATGATTATAGTAATAAAAGTAAATCATACAATAGAATATATTTTTATGAATTTTTTTTCCGACGGATATTTTGAACAAACATATATAACTGATACTGTTTTAAAAATGCATGTTTGTATTCTCACCTGAAGGCTTTTACTTCAGTCTAGCAAACATTTTTCACTAGTACTGTGTAAATACAATGTGTATTGTACTGTGACACTTAGTGACTACCTGTTGAATGCGTGGTTAAATTCAAGGTAATTAAAAGATTAGCATTCTGTAATTCTATTCTTTTGATCTTCACTCAGTGAATTTTAGCCAACATGGTGTGAACAACATTTCGTATGAATGATAAAAACATTAATTATTTGGGGAGGAATATGGTGGCAAATACCTGAATCGCCGTTATATATATCTTTTATATTTTGCGTAAGCTTAATTTTATAATAGATAGGTGAGTATTTTGTTGTAACATCGAAATTCTGTATTACTTTCAATTAAATAATTTTATAAATAAAAATGGCCCACGAAAACGAGCGTATAAACCAAACACTGTACTTACTTTTTTCAAATTATCATGGGTATTAACCTGGAATATTTCAATGTTTAACGAACATTATCGTGGTTACATGATTAATATAGCTTGGTCCGTCCACAGCGATCTACATTTACATAATCGGGAATGCCCTTATTAAAATATTTAAAATCTCACAACGTATACATACTTTAGCTATTTGACCAACGATGTTTAAAAAAAATAACAGAATCAATATAACGTCAACTTTCCTTTTTTGAATGGAGACAGACTGGTGGAATCAATTTTCAATGTGTTTTATATCTTGTACCTTTGAAAGACGTATCATTCATTCATAAACCCACTCTATACCAGAGACATATATGTCAGTCTTAACTGACAAGAATACACCTCAAGCGGACAAGCAGTATATTCTTTAAATTTCTGTGATTTAATACGAAGAAAGAAAAAAATCCCGAAATTAATTTGATGCTTTGATACTCAATATTTTTCCTGGAAAATAGTCACATCCTCGTTTGGTCTGAAAATAAGATAAGAATTTGGTATACAGAACATGCAGATGTGTGAATGTCATAAAACCTTATCAGAAACCAATGTGAACCTGTATACGTAAGACCTCATGGGACGTCACCTAACCACATACAGGTAATATACAAGTAGCTCTGTTATACCCGGAAATGTCAAGGTAGATCACTACCGATACAGAATGTACCAATGCAAAGAAAATTCTGATGATTGTGAAGCGTGACCATTCATGATTTTAGAGGAGTCTTAGGTGGAAATTGCCGGTACGATTTAAATTCTGACTAGATTTTTTTCTCTCAATTTAAATCACTGAACTAAAAAAAAGAAACCAACGTCCAAGATCAGAATTATTAATGTAAATTCATAAATACAACGTTCTTATTTTGAAACTTTCAATATACTTTACCTCCAACCACCGCCCCACTCCCAACCTGGGAACAGTATATCTAACATTACAATGTTTGTGTACCTGCCCAAATAAAAAAAAAAAAAAAGAAGAAAAAAGAAAGAGATGAACGGTAAGTCACATCAGATTCAAATATTTATATGGTTGATTGTCGTTAACTAGAGATGTATAGTTACATGTCTCTGCGTTAACTTATAAGAATGACAGGAAAGCATATACTTGAAATAGATTTATGATGAATAATATGCAACTGCGGCACCCCTTTTTGTCAAAGTGTACATGCATGTATTTTAATGACTGTCCGTTATTTCGATTAAGAATGACAATTGTACGTGAAATTCTATAGTTGCCAGTGAGACTTTCTTTTACCAGATATGCGACTTTTCGTATTTATATTTTCTCTCATATTACTCTCATTTAATATTTTATGCATAAGTGCAATATTTGGGAATAGTTTATTCCCCCCACAAGCCAACTAAATAAATTAATCAACCATCTAGCTAATCAGACGTTAATACAAATACTATCAGTCTATCGGGAGTGAAGTTTCTTTATTTCTTCAAATAGATTTTTTGGGGATCATTAGTGTACGTCCAGTGGCATATATATTACATGCATGTCGGAACAGGAAAGTTAGCATAATGTACTTTTAGAACCATATGTTCACATCATTATACATTATACTCATCAATTGTGGTGATGACGACGAATTTCTTTAACTGTTCGAGAACAATCTAAATGAAATATAAATCTGTGATTTTACTATGTCCATAACTTCGATGAACCAAAGCAAGTAAGATATCAACCTGTATGTAAATCAAATTGGTTCTGGATGTTTCTCTGTTATATTCAAAAACATGTATATATTTTTAATTGCGACTATCTATAGTTCCGTAACTTTCTATCTAGGCGTATTAACCAATGATCGAGAAGTGCGTACATTTTTGTTAAATCAATATTTGTATGTTTCAAAATGTCCATCATTATTGACAACGAGTATATACTTACATTTCCACAATTTACCCTTGGAAAAATTTTATCAAATCTTTTTTTGGAATTATTTAGATTTTCATAAATATCATTCTTTACACCAGAAATGTTATTTATAAACAAGCGTATGTGTTTAGTAATGACTAGTATATCACTATCGGACACGCAAGACAAAGATGTATATTACACCTGATAGCTTCAAAATGGAAAGTTACAAGTTATCGGCCGTGTACACTGATCAATACCCTTAGAAATGAAGGGATGCATGAACTTGCTTTATGTATTTGTGTAATAAGAGTTTTTAAGCCTGACAGGAAATCGCATGAATACCTGGACGTGTCACCTCACAATACCTCTGGGAATAATTCCTTTATCCACGCTGGTGATCAGATAAGGGAAGGTCTGAATTTATTTAAATAATTAGATATAAGAAAATGTGGTATGAGTGCTAATGAGACAACTCTCCATCCAAGTCACAAATTGTCAATTTATAAAAGTAAACCATTATAGGTCAAAGTACGGTCTTCAACACGGAGCCTTGGTTTTTAACATCAAAGTTTATTACATAAAAGAATTATGAACAAATTAGATTTTCGAAAACAATTATACACGGGACACTTATTTATGACTTTGAGCTTTGACTTTTGAACTAATTCCCATATAAATTTCTTGTTTCAAAACTTAGTTAAAACAAGGATTTGTATAGTAACAAATACAAATCCTTGGTAAAAAAATACAGTTTAAATACGACAGACCATAGTTATTTAAAAAAAATAATTACATTTTCCGTATCATGTTAGTTAGGAAAGGGTGCACAACCATGTCTATTATAATCATTTTTGTTACCCGGGAAACTGTTTATGCTTTTCTTGTCGGATAAAAAAACTGTACGCTTGACAAGATATCGACACGCAATTACGACTACGTTAGGTTACTGCTGGTTTTGGTCCTTTGTGGTTTATAGATATATCGTGGTTTCTAAACCGAGAAGATGTCAAAATGGCCGCATGCAGAGAATTGATACTCTAAATTTAAAATCGATGGTGATCTCTTATATAGCAGAATAAAACTTTAATATTTATGAATTTGTGCTTTTTTATACAGAATGAACATAATATCAATTTTTCATTTTTTTGCGAAGTTTCCCTTTAACTTAACTTTGTCTCAACCAAATATTATGAAACTTATACACAATGCTTATTACCACTAAATACAGATCAAGTTTGAATTTTGGTAGCATCACTCTAAACTTTCTAGACTTATGTCCCTTTATCAATGGAAAAATTACAAAATATTTAGTTTCCGCTCTCTAACTTAAGATTGCCTCAACCAAATGTCATGAAACTTATACATAATGCTTATTACCACAAAATACAGATCAAGTTTGAATTTTGGTAGCATCACTCTAATTGTTCTAGAGTAATGCCCCTTTATCAATGGAAAAATTACAAAATATTTAGTTTCCGCTCTCTAACTTAAGTTGGCCTCAACCAAATGTTATGAAACTTAAACACAATGCTGATTACCACAAAACACAGATCAAGTTTGAATTTTGGTGGGGTCACTTAAACTGTTCTAAAGTTATGCCCCTACATAAACGGAAAAATTGCAAAATTTTTAGTTTTCGTTCTCTAACTTAAGTTTGCCTCAACCAAATGTTATGTAACTTATACACAATGCTTTTTACCACCAAATAAAGATCAAGTTTGAATTTTGGTGGGGTCACTTTAACCATTCTAGAGGTATGCCCCTTATAAATGGGAAAAAAATGCAAAATTTTTAGTATCTGTTCTCTAATTAAAGTTGCCTCAACCAAATGTTATGAAACTTATACACAATGCTTTTTACCACAAAACACAGATCTAGTTGAATTTTGGTGGCATCACTTTAATCGTTATCAAGTTATGCCCCTTTATAAATTGAAAAATTGCAAAATATTTAGTTTCCGTTCTGTAACTTAAGTTTGCCCCAACCAAACATTATGAAACCTTTACACAATACTTATTACCACAAAACTCAGATCAAGTACACATTTGGGTAGCGTCCCTTTTATTGTTCTTGAGTTATGTCCCTTTATAATGTTGTATGCAAGCGGGGGCATCATCTGTGTCCATGGGGACACATTCTCCATTTATTTTTTATATTTTCCATGCAGTTATATTTGTTGATAAAGCTTTTTCATATCAGTTGTTACATGAATTGGTGTATTAAAATTTTTTCTTTCAAAATCATTTAATACCACCTTCCTTTTATGTTAACTTTCTTACTTTTTTTCCTTCACTGTTTTTCTCTTTGCATTTGTGCAGTGTGATTACAGAATTGCTAAAGAGAGGGGTCAAGTTGAAATGGCTGCATATGGAAAATCTGTTGGCAAATTATACTACTAGAAGACAATAAATCACAATAAATATCCTGTTGATTTGGATAACATAAGGGATTTAAAAATGTAACATCCCAGTGACACATAAAAACCTAATATGGGGTACTATAAAATAGACATGTAAATATTGGTTAAGCTTTAAGTCTAAAAGTTGTAAATAAATTCATCAGAGACTATCAAAGATCTGTCATTTACACCTAATATCCTAAAATAAAATACTGGTCATGGATGTCTTTTGTTGTTCTTTTGTGTTGTTGGTAGATTGCTGTGTCATTAACCTTTACCCTAGATCTCCCCTTTATTTACAAAGTTAGTTGTTTTTATTGTGAGTATACATCTAATATTTTTTGCTGGAGGTTGATCAAACCTGAGTTTAAATCTTCCACATATTCATGTGTTTGTAAGAGCTGTGCTATTGGTTTTCATTTGATATATATATCTTAATGGTTTTATTGTATCAGTTTGGGAATTATAAGATTTTTGATTATCTCTGTTTAAATTTATTTGTATTATTTTTAGACTCGGACGATTAAGCACTTATTCTATTGTTCAGACACCTGCCTCTAGTTGTCTTTTGGTTATTTGTGTCATTGGGTTGCTGACTAAATCTCCTTTTATTCATATCAGTCAATCAATCATTGAATTTTCTGTGTTAATTTTACTCATCTTGATCTTGAATAAAATTAATGAAATATACTTAAGGTAGATGTGGTGTCTTTTTCTGAGCATCCCTTCTGGGCATGGTGCAAAAAAAACTTTTTTGGTTTAAAATATTTTACCAAGTATTATTCAATTTACAACAGAACCATTTAAAACTTGAAAATTAAAGATTAAACTAAAGAAAAAATAAATGTTGTTAAGTGTATCTAAAATTTTCCTAAAAATATTTTTAAGGTAGATTGGGTGTCTTTTTCTGAGCATCCCTTCTAGGCATATAGAATTTGAAATTTTCAGAAAATATCCCTTTGAAATCAAGGGCAGATAATTATATTGAATATGATAGGACAATTTGTGTATTTTTTTATTTTCAAGAAAATAAGGCCAGTGACCATTTTCAAAAAAAAATCCCTTTGAAATCAAGGGCATACATGTATAATTATATTGAATATGAAAGGACAATATGTGTTTTTTTTTTAATTTTTTTTAAGGCCAGTGACCCCTTATTTTTATTTGATATTTCAGAAGTATTTATGAAAAGTAGTTCTCTCATTGAGTTTTAACCAATTCTATCATTTCATGTGTATGAAAAAAATAAGTTTATCTAAATAACCCATTTAAAATAACCAAGATTTCGTTAATTTTAATGTATTTTAACGAAAAAACCTGGTCCTTGACTCCCAGTTTTTATATTGAAATTTGAAAGTACATTGACTCAGAAGTCTTTTACAGGAGTTTAACAAAAATCTATTGTTGAACATTTAGATGCCCCAGCTACCTTAACCTTAAAAATATTTAGAACTTTTCTAAAGTTATAAAACACAATAAGTTAGCTTTTATATGCTTGTCCAAGTTACTGAACATTCTGTAGATAGCTGCACTATTTAAAATAGTTTTTCATTTGAAGATAGAATTGTAAGGATTGTAAAATTTGCATTGACTTCTGCTAAAAACGTATTGATTGTATTTAATTTCAGAATAGATGTACAAGTTGTTCTGGATCGGGAAAAAGAATGGATGATGAGGAATGTTCATTTTGTAATGGTACAGGTAAAAGAGAGTAAGTTATATTCTGTAGAATAAAGTATTTTAGAAAAAAATTTCACATCTGGACAACTTCATCATTTTGAAAATAAGTTCATTTTCTGTGGGTCATAGTTTTTAAAATTCTTTGCACATTTTTCCTTTTCTTTAAGATGTTTGCTTTATAAATGCAACACAAGCCAATAAATCCCTTTATTGTCCCCAGAGCAAAGCGTTGCAGGGGACATGCTAATACCAGACGTCCGTCCATCTGGTCTTGTTAGCACTCTCACGTGTACAATTCTTGCCCAATTTTTATGAAACTTGTATCATAGGTTTATATCATCAATGTCTTGGACCAGCTCAATAATCAGTGCCCATTAATTATTATATGCCCGGTTACGGGACGTATTATGGTATACTGTTGTCCATCCGTCCGACTGTCCATCGTCAACATGTCGTACAATAACTTACAAACCCTTTAACCAATTTGCATCAAACTTTGGTGAATTGTTTATATCTATTGACGTGAGCTCCCTTTTGATTTTTATAAATTTCAGATATTACATTTCTGAGTTATGGGCTTCTATTCATTAAAAAAGGGGGATTTAACAGTTTTCGGACAATAATTAGAAAATGTTTTAAGCAGTTTTGGTAAAACTTTGGTGAATTGTTTATATCTATTGACGTAAGATCCCTTTTGATTTTTATAAATTTTATGTTTCCCAGTTATGGGATTTTATTCATAAGAAAGGGGGGGGGGTGATTTTTCAGTTTTTGGATAATAACGCAAAAGTGTTTTGAGCAGTTTTCTTGAAACTTTGGTGAATGGTTTAAATATATTAAAATAACCTCCCTTTAGCTTTTTATAAATTTTTGATATGACATTGAGGAGTTATGGAACTTTATTCTTTGAAAAAGCGACAGGCGTATCTTGCCCTCATGGCAGCTCTTTATTTTTAAAAGAGTTACGCCCCTTGGAAACAATTAATTTTATGGAAAATTGCATTGGTAGCGCTCTCATGTGTACAATTCTTGCCAAAATTTTATGAAACTTATATCATAGGTTTATATAAGCAAAGTCTTGGATGAGTTCGAAAATCCATGCCAATCAATAATTTTTAAAAGAGTTATGCCCTTGGAAACATTAATTATATTGAAAATTTCATCGTGAGCGCTCTCATTTATGCAATTCTTGACAGATTTTTTAGAAACTTATATCATAGGTTTATATTAGCAATGTCTTAGACGAGTTCGAATATCTGTGCCAATCAATTATTTTTAAAAGAGTTATGCCCCTTGGAAAGATTAATTTTATGGAAAATTGCATCGTTAGCAATCTCATATGTTCAATTCTTGCCAGTTTTTTATGAAACTTATATCATAGGTTTATATCAGCAATGTCTTGGACAAGTTCGAAAATCAGTGCTGATCAATTATTTTTTAAAGAGTTATGCCCTTGGAAATATAAATTATATGGAGAATTGCATTGTTAGCGCACTCATATGTACAATTCTTGCCAGATTTTTATGAAACTTAGATCATAGGTTTATATCAGCAATGTCTTGGACAAGTTCGAAAATCAGTGCTGATCAATTATTTTTTAAAGAGTTATGCCCTTGGAAATATAAATTGTATGGAGAATTGCATTATTAGCGCTCTCATATGTACAATTCTTGCCAGATTTTTATGAAACTTAGATCATAGGTTTAAATTAGCCATGTCTTAGACGAATTTGAAAATCAGTGCTGATCAATAATTTTTAAAAGAGTTATGCCCCTTGGAAATATTTATTATATGGAAAATTGCCTTATGAGCGCTCTAATGTGTACAATTCTTGCCAGATTTTTATGAAATTTATATTATAGGTTTATATCATCAATGTACATAAAGAGTTCAAAAATCAGTGCCGATCAATTGTTTTTAAAAGAGTTATGCCCTTTAAAATATTGATTATATGGAAAATTGCAATGTTATCGCTCTCTTGTGTTAAATTCTTGCCAGAATTTTATGAAACTTATATCATAGGTTTATTTCTGCAATGTCTTTGACACTTTTGAAAATAAGTTCTGTTCAAATATTTTTGACGAGTTATGCCCCTTGGAAATATAAATTATAATGGAAATCACATTGCATTTGCTCTGAAGCCTTCATTACTCTTAAAATATTAATAAAAAGTTTTAAAGAACAAAAAAGAAAGTGCTTTTTTTACTGATTACCTTTGTACCTTGGATAGATTAAATATGTGCAACGCGGGGGACATTGGAACTCTGTTCTTTTATTTGTATATATACATCATAGGAGTGATATCTCTAAGAAGCCACTTCTCTCAGTTAGTCAGAATTTCAGGCAGTCGGGTCACAAACTTGATGACTTTAACCGCTTGAAAATCCTAGTGATTGAACAGAACATTCACTGGAGTGATGCCCAGCGACAGGTTCGGGAAACTTTTTTGATAAAGGAACTAAATGTACATCATCCAAACGGCATCAATGTGAAATACTAGCAGTTTTCTTTTTCACTCATTTTGGGATGTATATATACACAGTCACGTCTATTGAGTATTGAGTTTGTTTTATTTTATGATGTTCAAGATTTGGGATTAAATCAATAGACCAAACTTACCTGTATTATTGAGCTATTTTACACAAACAATTAGTATTGTTAAAATTATTGACACTGACGAAGGCTATTTGTTAAGCCGAAATATTTGTCAACACGATTTTATAACATCATCTTCGTATAATATCATCTTGTATAAGTACCTTTGTGCAAATTTTTAGACTTATATAATTTTTTCCTTATCTGCACAGTATCATCTATTCTAGACGATCCGGTACATATCAAATTTGCTGGTTGGTCCTTTTTATAGACTTCTACATTAAGTAATATATATATTCCATAATTATATGTAAATCATGTGCAGATTTGCAATTTACAATTGTATATTTGTTTGTGTAAATTTCCAGTAAAATGAAAGACTTTGCTATGCATATGTAGAAAAGGATAAAACTCCTTTGATCTTTTTTTCTTGTTTGTGATTCTTTTAAAAAAAATTTCAATGTTTTTCCCTTATTTTTACAGTTGTATGACCTGTCACAGTAAAGGCAATGTTATTTGTAAAATATGTCAAGGTCATAGAATACTCAAATACTACATAAAACTGACAATTAAATGGTAAGTACCAATGTATTAGAGTTATGTACTTTGATGGTTGACAGTTTCAGCATTTTAGTAACAATCATTCATTTTTGAAATTTCTGATTTTTGTAAATCCCTTTAATATTTTGTTATACATACAAAAAATCCATTTACTGTCATTATGGGAAATTTACACTTTATACCCGTATTCATGTTGCCCAAATTTGAGGGATCCCATTGTCCTACTTCCCAAGTACATCTATTTGATTAGGACTTTCCATTTTGAATTTTCCTTGGAGTTCGGTATTTTTGTTATTTTACTTTTTACCCTTGTCCGTCTGTACGTACGTACGTACGTCCGTATGTCCCAAAATTGGTTTCCATTCTCTAACTTGAGTTTGCCTCAACCAAATGTTATGAAACTTATACACAATGCTTATTACCACAACATACAGATCAAGTTAGAATTTTGGTAGCATCACTCCAACTGTTCTTGAGTTATGTCCCTTTATAAATGGAAAAATTACAAAATTTTTAGTTTCCTTTCTCTAACTTAAATTTGCCTCAACCAAATGTTATGAAACTTATACACAATGCTTTTCACCGCAAAACACAGATCAAGTTTGAATTTTGGTGGCGTCACTTTAACCGTTCTAGAGTTATGCCACTTTATAAATGGAAAAATTGCAAAATTATTAGTTTCTGTTCTCTAACTTAAGTTTGCCTCAACCATATGTTGTGAAACTTATACACAATGCTTATTACCACAAAATAAAGATCAAGTTTGAATTTTGGTGGGGTCACTTTAATCATTTTTGAGTTATGCCCCTTTATAAATGGAAAAAAATGCAAAATTCTTAGTTTCCGTTCTCTAACGTAAGTTGCCTCAACCAAATGTTATGAAACTTATACACAATGCTTTTTACCACAAAACACAGATCAAGTTGAATTTTGGTGGGGTCACTTCAATCATTATCGAGTTATGCCCCTTTAAAAATGGAAAAATTGCAAAATTTTTAGTTTCCTTTCTGTAATTTAAGTTTGCCCCAACCAAACATTATGAAACCTTTACACAATACTTATTACCACAAAACTCAGATCAAGTACAAATTTGGGGAGTGTCACTTTTATTGTTCTTGAGTTATGTCCCTTTATAATGTTGTATGCAAGCGGGGGCATCATCTGTGTCCATGTTTTTCTAATAATAATTTAAGTAAGCACTAAATTCTCCTTGTTAGGTTCATTTCAATATTGATGAGTTTCCAATTAGTTCTTCCATAGTAATTGGACTTTAATCATAAAAAACAAGTAATTTTTCATATGTCAAGTGACATCTCAAGTTGTCTTTCACTGAATAAGTTTTAAAGTTGACTTTATTGTGCAGTCTTCCCCTAACAAGTGAAAATAGTTTAGGCCATAATTGAAAAGTGATTCTTGCACCATCCAGCAACCAATACAATGACCATTAACTTGGATCAAGGAAATAAATGACAGGACAGAATTAAGAAAGAATGCACCTCCATCGTGTTTATGTAAGAAAAAAATAATATGTTCAAATAAAATCATTTCATTCAATTAATTTCATGGCAACCAACTGAACATTGGCAGTTTTATTGGCTGTAAAGGAGGATGAAAGTAACTTTTTAATTGCTGTTTTAAATTGTTAATCTTAGCTGTCTTTATGAAATTCATATATCTTTTTTGTCATTTGTAAACCTATTTTGTTATTGAAATGATAATTATTCTGACTTGTTACTTTGTAAGACATTACAGTTTAAAAGACCGCAAAGATTTCAATTCTAGAGAAGTCATAAATACCTACAATACATTGTGATAATGAATTCTAACAGATCATTTTAATGTTGACAGGCATAAACATGATGACAACCATATTGTAGAAAGAACAAGTTTACCTGACAAACTTATTAAGAAGGTTGAAGGACAGACTGCTTTTGAAGAAACTTATCCCAGGGTAATTTTTTTTGATTATCATCTTAAATTGAATATGCTGATTTTTCTATTATTATGCTATTGTCATACAGATATCTTCTTTTGCTCATTGATAATGTATGTCCCTGTTTTAAAGTTCCTCCAGTTTTGACAGAATCAATGTTTCATGATATTGAATGTATTGATAAACATTTGTTTAGTAAAATCATCTAATATGTCTTACATGTTTCTGTTGTGTTGTGTGCACATTTTGACCATGAAAAACATTGGATGATCGATTATACAGTACAAATTTCGCGAAAGGCTTCCCAAACTCCGAACACCAAGTTTTTTCTTGGTGTGACACCAGGAAACTCCGACATCCCTCCCTAAATTCTCAGAGAAATTTGGAAGTATTCTCTCCGACTTCCGCGTAAATACGCTACCTTTTGTTTATTGTATTAGCGACATCTCTCCCATTCCGGTGTGATGCGGTGTCACACCAGGTAATTAATTGCCCTAATCCTTCTGATCTATACCGGCACGCGACAGTCAAGGTATGTGAGATTACTTATGTAATTAAACAATTGTATTTCTTGTCTATTGATAATCAGGTTATATTTCTGATTGCTTGAAACAAATAAAAGATTTAAAAGCAAAACATTGTTGTTAATTCTTTCAATTTCACTGTACATTTAAAAATAGTTTTATTAAAAAAAAACTATATTTGATTTTTACCTCGTTTTTTTTCTGGTCAGTAAATTAATATTTAATTTACAAAAGAGATATACTTGTGTAAAAATAAACGGAGACTTACACTGAATAAATGTGGGCAGTTTAAAGGAAAATTACATGTCTCAAAGTTTTGTATGCAAGTAAAAAAGAAAAAACTATTCACCATTCGTTATGCTTAATAAGTCTACGGCATTTTCTCTTTACGATTTGTTGGCATTACTTTAGGATAAATAATTACATTTCGGCTACAACAGGAATACTTCTATAGCTGCATCAACTCGTCGTTGCATAATATTCATTTACGCACAATGAATGTAAACTTGTGTGTTGTATAAAGGACAGTGATTTTTAAATTTTTTAAAAGAAATTAATTGCCGTGGGAAGACGATACACATCTCAGTGATCAACAGTCCGTGGTTGAACTTTAAACTTGACTTGGCTCACAATATTGAATGCTAAAAATAGTGAGATCAATTTTGTCCACGAGATTTTTATTTGGCAGGAAATATTATCACGTAACAGTAAACTCAGGTGACCTTTATGGATGACCATGGGAAAATTCATTCGGGGTTTAAATTTGCTTTGGAATGATCGACATTTGTATGCCTTAAGATTGAGGCTCTAGAAGGTCCTTTTACAATTGATTAACCGGAATCTAAAATATAATCCTTTTCAGAATAAACAAACACCAGCCTTTTAATTTTACTTTTCTCAGTCAACACAGGACATAAACCTGGACATTATTTATACGTCCATAGTCAACAATATACATAAATGGTAGATGAAAACAGGATGCATGTCGTTCAGTTCCTGTTGGGCGTTGGTAGAGATCCTCTATGAAAATGTGTAGATCGTAAAAATCCAATCCACATTTTTTTCACATATTTCTTTCTTGTAGAACACGATATAATTTCATTTAAATATTCTATAGTATTAATTGTTGAAATACTTCTTTTTTTTATTTCGCCAAGGACTTTTAACGAGCAGTAAAATACGGATTGCGCCCATCCAATTTTATTTTAAATAATAAAGGATCAATAACAGATCATAAGAGAGATAAACAACACATGATTTTTTTTTCTTCATATAATTAAATTAGGTTGTGATTATTGTGTTGTGTCTTGGCGGGGAATGTCTCTCAGTGTTGTGTTTTTATGAATATAGGGCACATTGCATACAAAACGTTTTCCCTTCGTTCAACAGAGTTGTCACTTTACAGTTTCTTTTCTGAGTCCAAATATTTCAAGTCGTAATCTACCGAGGTAGTGAAACAAAATATTTTACATTGCAAAATAAATTGAAAGTAACAGAGTTCACTTGTTGATCCGATAAATTAACTCTTGGGTTTAGATTGGACAAATTACCGTAAAAACATCATTTTTTTTTAAGCCAGTTGATATTTATATATTGAACAATCAATGAACCGGATATTGCTCACTGAGTAGGTCATAAAAGATTCTAATTGTAGTAAAATAGTCTTTGTTGAAAAAACAAAAATTATGACCTGACCGGACTATAATAAAAATACATAATAAGTGTTTTATTCGTATTTTTATACGTTTGAACGTTTTATTCGTATTTTTATACGTTTGAACGTTTTATTTCAAATGGCAATGACATGGGGCAAATACATACAAGAACAATTATCTTATTTTGAATGAAAATGTCACATTTTTATCTGTCAAAGAAAGGAAATTTTTATACCGTGTTTTAAAGCACACAGGTGCAATCAAGATCGATTTTTTAAATGTACAAAGGTAATATATCTGACTAATCCGATTATGTTGTCACGCGTCATTAATTTTCAGTACACCTGATGGGCAATAAACCAATTAACAGCCACGCGGTGTTGGGAGAGAATCTTTGGAGGAAATTGGGAGTATATACGTGATTCGCGGTGTGACACCGCTACACTCCGAAATCGGTGATTAGAGTTCGCGATTACAAACTCTCTGTGCGTACTGTAGGATTATTTGATTTATTGTTTGACTTCAGCACACAGGGGCTGTTTTTTTAATGAAAGAAAAAGATTGTCTTTCTTAGTTAAGACTGATGTGACCTCTGATGTGAGAGGAAAAATAGGAAATATGTAATCTCCAAATAAAGATCAGAAATTTAATTTCTTCAGGGATGAGAATATGGTGAGAAGAACTTCTGTCATAATAACTTTGGTTTGTAATGAATTACTTAATATATGTAAAAGCAAAACTCTGAGTGAAATAACAGAGACTGAATTGTCTTTATGTAAATAGGCATGCTAATTGGCAAACTGTTATCTTTATATGTACACATACTTTGTAAATCATTTTATATTTCAAGGTATATCCAATCCAGCATTTTGTAGAGCAAGAAATTAATAATGCATCAGCTAGTCTTGTATCCAAACACCAGTATCCCATGGAGAGAGTTCTCATGCAGGTACTATAACATAATCTTATATCCAAACACCAGTATCCCATAGAGAGAGTTCTCATGCAGGTACTATAACATAATCTTATATCCAAACACCAGTATCCCATGGAGAGAGTTCTCATGCAGGTACTGTAACATAGTCTTACATCCAAACACCAGTATCCCATGGAGAGAGTTCTCATGCAGGTACTATAACATAATCTTATATCCAAACACCAGTATCCCATGGAGAGAGTTCTCATGCAGGTACTATAACATAATCTTATATCCAAACACCAGTATCCCATGGAGAGAGTTCTCATGCAGGTACTGTAACATAGTCTTACATCCAAACACCAGTATCCCATGGAGAGAGTTCTCATGCAGGTACTATAACATAATCTTATATCCAAACACCAGTATCCCATGGAGAGAGTTCTCGTGCAGGTACTGTAACATAATCTTATATCCAAACACCAGTATCCCATGGAGAGAGTTCTCATGCAGATACTGTAACATAATCTTATATCCAAACACCTGGGTATCCCACGCAGAGAGTTCTCATGCAGGTACTGTAACATAGTCTTACATCCAAACACCAGTATCCCATGGAGAGAGTTCTCATGCAGGTACTATAACATAGTCTTATATCCAAACACCAGTATCCCATGGAGAGTTCTCATGCATGCAGGTACTATAACATAGTCTTACATCCAAACACCAGTATCCCATGGAGAGAGTTCTCATGCAATTACTATAACATAATCTTACATCCAAACACCAGTATCCCATGGAGAGTTCTCATGCAGGTACTATAACATAGTCTTACATCCAAACACCAGTATCCCATGGAGAGAGTTCTCATGCAGGTACTATAACATAATCTTATATCCAAACACCAGTATCCCATGGAGAGTTCTCATGCAGATACTATAACATAGTCTTATATGCAAACACCAGTATCCCATAGAGAGAGTTCTCATGCAGGTACTATATCATTAACTTATATCTAAACACCAGTATCCAATGGAGAGAATGCTAATGCAGGTACTATATCATTAACTTATATCTAAACACCAGTATCCCATAGAGAGAGTTCTCATGTAGGTACTATATTATAGTCTTATATCCAAACGTTATGCAAGTATCCCATGGAGAGAGTTCCCATGCAGGTACTATACTATTAATAGTAACTTGTATCTAAACCTGAGACAAAAGTACATGTTGGTATAAGATACAGTTGTTGATGTGTTTCGTGTTGCTTAATATGAAAGAACTCTTCTTTTTTGTGTTGTTTTTTGTGTTGTTTCTTTGTTGTGGCCATTGGTTTGTCCTTATCCTCAGCTTATGGTTTTTATGATTTGAACAAATGGGATTCCCCAGACTTTTAAATAAGATATTTTTAGATCTGAAAATAGAACAATGTCATCAATATCTGTTGTGATTATACCCAGAGGTCTGGAGGGAAAAGGCAGCTGGTTCAGCATATTGTAGAAGACTTGAAATGTAAACATATCTGTTGGAACCAGTAAGTTTATACGGGAGCTTAAACGTTTGCGTAATACACTGATTTTCATGGACCCAAGGAATTCCATTTTAAAGTTACATACATCAAGATAAATGGAGAAGTCAGCAGTCTAAACATTTTCCTCCTTTTTGAAAAGATATTATTGATAAATTGTTTTTTGTTTTTTGTAAAATATGTGTGTCAGGGATTAAACCTGTAAACTCACTTAATGCCATTGAAAGTCAGGATGTATACATTTTTTAAATTTAACTAAACTCAATCTGAGTTAAAACTAATGATATAGATTTCTGTATGCACAAGACAATTTTCTGATAAAACCAGCATCATATTCACTTCAGCTAAAAAGTTTGCCAAGCCACAAATATATCAATTGTAAGACAGCACACATGACATATTCCATGTACAAGATACATCTTTCATATTAAGACAGACTTAAGTATATCTTTTAAATGTTGAATAATTTGTATGGAATATCATGCACAAGCCACTGTAAAGTAAACAATTCATTGTTTTGATGTTTTACAGAGACACAGTGTAAGGATAGTACCAGTAACAGTTTGTCGTTACAAATGGAATGACACAGAATCTGACTTTATAGTGTATGGATTAGAGAAGAAAGTTCATGCTCCTGACTATCCTCAACAAAATTGTTGTGGCTGTTCTGTCTTATAGAATTAGACAAGGAAGAATTTGATGGGATAACTTTTCAGTATACATGTATTTCAAAATGTATCAAAAATTTTGAGAAATGTTTCTGTACTATCATGACTATGTTATAGTATAAAAGATATATTGCATTTTCAACCAGGCCCTACCATTGTCACAACAATAATACATTGTAGTTACCTGGGAAAGTCTTAAAATTGAAATCCAGAAAAAATATAGCCCATGACCCTGCAGCTTCTTACATGGTCACCATGCTGAATTTCTGTTTACATACTAAACTATGAAGAGTTTTCTGAAATTTTCTCCTCTGAAATATGTGTTAAAATTGGTAGCAAACATGACCCCATAAGTACAGTAAGCACATTAAATCAGTGTGGTCAATGCAGGCACATGGGAGCCTCCTGTTTGAAAACATTATTTTTAATGCACATTGAAAGCTTTCTCAAAAGTATAAACAGAGCCTGCTAGGAGCATCCTAACATGAAGAAACATACAGTCCCTGAAATGGTCATGATGATGGGAAGGAAAATATACTGGTTTTACCCTATAGAATTTAATTTTGTTAATACTATGGATTCAAAATAATTCTTGGAATAAATTTTTCAAGAATTTCATGGGTAAATGTTAACACAAATTTAAGTGTTTAACAAAATATGAATTTCCTAAATGTTTGTTTTCAGACCTTTTAATGACATAATTATTCATCTTACCAGTGTCTGCTCTATTGGTTTCCTAAATGATCTCTTTTTGTGTTTATTTTTCTGTTTGACCAGTTGTTTATTGTGGATTCAGTATTATTCATGGGATACCAATTTAGAATATATCAAGGGTTTAGATGAATCATGAGTTTAAATGTTTAACGAAGAAGACATTTTCTATTAGCAAATCAACAAATATGAATATCTGCGAAAATACAACACCTCCTCAATCCACGAAAAATAAATGAATCCACAGTATTTGTTGAAGAGTTATTGGATGTTTACAACATTAATGGAAAGGAATTCCTGTAAACTCCATTTTTATAATCTATAAATTATATATATGCTATTGACTTATATAAAAACATATTCACTGCAATCAATGAAGATTTACATATTTCAAATCTTTTGTGATTTATTATTTATCTGAAAATTGCCAATAGTGAAGAAAAAAATATTTCAAAGTGAAATGTTCTCTAAACAGCTGGAAAATGGAAATATGTTGGTAATGGCAAACAATGGGAAAAGAATAATATTCATAATTCATTTTCAGATTTGTTACAGTCCAAATGGCAGTTTTGCAGAAACTTAAATCTTTTTTTTTGTTGGAGGGAAAACATGAATTATTTTTATTGATTTTTTCTTCAAGGGAAATAGTTAATAGTTGTATATTTATTTTCAGTATGCATAATCTTTCAGAATCAAATAGTTTGACATTTTTGACTTGATATGTACTGTTTTGTGTCTTTGACACATTTGAGTTTCCTTAATATCAGACATGTTCCTATTGACAGTCAGCACTAAGCATCTTTAAATTGTTAAAACTGATTGGATGATAAAAAATATGGAAAACAGTTGACTAAAATGACCTAAAGGGGAGGGTTTGGCATCAGCAAACTAGTTTAACCAGGCCACATTCTATATGTACCTGTCCCTAGTAAGGACCCTGTAATTGAGAAGTTGTTGTTTTTTACTGTTTTTATACGACTGCAAAAAAATTTTTATATTGGTATGACGTTAGCGTCATCGTCGTCGGCGTCACCTGGCGTCGTTGTCGTTGTCCAAAGACACATTGGTTTTCGCACTCTAACTTTAGTTTAAGTGAATGGATCTCTATGAAATTTTACCATAAGGTTCAATACCACAAAAGGAAGATTGGGATTGATTTTGGGGGTTATGGTACCAACAGTTAAGGAATAAGGGGCCCAAAAGGGGCCAAAAATAAGCATTGTTGTAACTTCCAGACATAACTTGTGTGTTAGTGTATGGATCTCTCTGACATTGTTCCACAAGGTTCCATATCACAAAGGGAATGCTGGGATTGATTTTGGGGGTAATTGCTTCAAAATTGTAGGAATTAGGAGCCAAAAAAGGGGCAAAAAACAAGCATTTTTCTTGTTTCATGACAATAACTTGTGTGTAAGTGTATGGATCTTTCTGAAATTGTACTACAAGGTTCCATATCACAAAGGGAAAGCTGGAATTGAGTTTGGGGGTAATTGCCAAAAACGTTTAGGAATTAGGGGCCAAAAAGGGGCCAAAATTAAGCATTTTTCTAGTTTCCAGACAATAACTTGTGTTCAAGTGTCTGGATCTCTCTGAAATTGTACTGCAAGGTACCATACCACAAAGGGAAGGCTGGGATTGATTTTGGGGGTAATTGCCTCAAAATTTTAGGAATTAGGGGCCAAAAAGGGGCAAAAAACAAGCATTTTTCTTATTTCAGGAAAATAACTTGTGTGTAAGTGTATGGATCTTTATGAAATTGTACTACAAGGTTCCATATTACAAAGGGAAAGCTGGAATTGAGTTTGGGGGTAATTGCCCAAAACGTTTAGGAATTAGGGGCCAAAAATAAGCATTTTTCTAGTTTCCAGACAATAACTTGTGTTCAAGTGTATGGATCTCTCTGAAATTGTACTGCAAGGTACCATACCACAAAGGGAAGGCTGGGATTGAGTTCGGGGGTGATGAATCATAAGGGGGTTCAAAAAATTTGGGGTAGGGATTTTTTTTTTTTTTTTTTCCTTTTTTTTTTCTTTAAAATTTTCCATTTTAAATTGGTTATTTCTGATTTATATATTAAAGCAAATAATAATGATATGGTTTGAATAGGTAAATTTAAAAATTTTAAGTTTTTAGACCACATTCATTCTGTGTCAGAAACCTATGCTGTGTCAAATATTTATTCACAATCCAAATTCAGTGCTGTATCAAGCTTGAATGTTGTGTCCATACTTGCCCCAACTGTTCAGGGTTGGACCTCTGCGGTCGTATCAAGCTGCGCCCAGCGGAGCATTTTATTCATATTTGTTTTATATTTATTGTTTTGTAAAATTTGTTATTGTGTTGTGCCATTACACCACTGCCCCAGGTTAGGAGAGGGTTGGCACCTCCAAAATAGTTTAACCCCGCCACATTCTTATGTGCCTGTCCCAAGTCAAGATCCTGTAGTTCAGTGGTTGTCATTGGTTCATTTCTATCATATTTGTTTTTCTTAAATTGTTATAAATTAGGCCATTAGTTTTCTCAATTGAGTTGATTCATATTTTTCATGTCAGGACCTTTTATAGCTAACTATACAGTATGGACCTTTCTCATTGTTGAAGGCTGTATGGTTGTCTATAATTGCTTACATCCACTTCATTTGAACTTTGGTAGATAGTTGTCTCATTGGCAATCATATCACATCTCCTTATTTTTATATTAATGTTTATTAGAGGCCCTTTAAATATGGTATGTGTTAGGACTGTGTAATGTGATTTTAAGTTGTGTAGATAATTTATGTCATTTTAGTTTTTGGTTAATTGTTGCCTCACGTTATCATCACATTCTTGTTTTAAACGATTCTGTTTTATAATTTTTTATTTGGTATTTTTTTTGAAAGACTGTTTTTATAAAAGGTAGTTTATATACATACATCAATTTGTAATTACTGCTGAATTTTACTCGACATCTACATGTAATATCTCTGTTTATGAGTGTCTTCTGTAGTCCATTCGATGATTAAGCTTGAAAACAGAGAAACTATTTAAACACACAAAATATATATCATAAGACTGAATTCACCATTGGAATGAAATGAGTAAGAAAATTTTCCATAGGTCTCTACAATGGAGTTAGCAAAGTAATGCATGACAAGCTAATAAAATATGTGCAGAACAATTTCTAATGTTAATGTTTTTTTATTGAACCATAATGAAATTTATCTGTTATACCTCTTGTGGTGTAAGTAGGTATAGTGCTTTGACATAATTATCCATCACTTGTGATTTTTCAATGTATATTGATATAACACTCCATTTGTTAAAATGAATTGTAGGATCTGTTCGTTTTATATTAATCAACTGGTCAACCCTCGACAAAATAAAAAACAGATGAAGACAAAATCATGACAAAATAAACAAATAAATTTCAAACTATTTTGAGTCTTATAATGGACACCTTTAATAAACACTTATCGTAAATGCCTTCAAAATATTTGTCATATGGAATATACAGCAAATATGTAAGTGACGAATAGTTTTGCCCTTTCACTGTAAATTAAAATAACAATAAACAAATGAACAGAGCTTGTTATGTGGTATGCTGTGTTTTGTATAATTTTGTATAATGAACTATGAATGTTTATGTTATTTAACATGTATTTTATTGAATCTCATTGACAATATCCTGATGTCTTGTCTTATTCATCATGATCAGGTTAGGATATTTTTATGTTTTAAAGATCTTGTAACTATTTTAGATTTTTTTTGTATTTTTAAAGAATAAACAATTTTAACCATGTTAAGAAATCATTTAAAACTGCTGAATTATTTAATTTCTCTTTATTCAGACATTTTAAATGGGCTATTCATGTTATCTTTATTTTTATTGACCCACCATCTACAAGTTATAAGCATTTAATAATATAGTTATTCACCTTACATTCAATTAATAATGTGCAATAAATTCCTTATTTAGTATTTGTAGTTTGCTGTTTCATGATTGCCTGCTTATAGTACCAAAAGGTCCTGTGACAAATATTATGTCATTCAGGATGCACTAAATGAGCAATTCAACAATAGTATTTCCTTAGTGGTTCAAAAGATGTGTATATCCAAAGCCTAATACAAACAGTGAAGAGCTTATATAATGGAAAAGGACTAAAAGTATAGCCAAACCTCGGATATATCATTCATTGTACAAGACTGACCCACCAAGTCAAATTCTAAAAGTACAAGTTCATAAGGTTATATATAGTGCAGAGGAAGAAATGTCACCCTAATTTAACATGTTATTATTGATAAGTCTTAAACAGGGATAAGGGATCATGACAAAGATGATTAATCATTGTCCTTTGTCTACCTTAAGACAGTACAAAATTTATAAATCAACCCTTATACATGAACAAATATGAAATTTTCAAATAGATATTCCTTCTTTTTCTGACGAAGGCTGAATAAAATTGTTCCAGAGAAAACAAAACGGATATTGATAAAGATAAATTAACCCCTTCGTAACTTCGGAGTGAAGTAGGGTGCACATGAAAGGTATGCAGTTTTTACTTCACAACTGGAGTTCATCGTGTTGCTCATGGCAAGTCAATATCCGATGATAGTTCACATTTGGTGATACCAGAGACATATAATACATGTATATGTCTCTGGTGATACGTTTCGTATGTCTAACGTAAACATGTTGAAAAGATGACTTGTCCATTCAAAACCTTTGGTTCGTTGGTTTCTTCTGATATCTTTCATTCAGAAAGTCATTATAGGAAAGACAAGCTCTAGAATATTGTATTAAATTGGAATTAAATTGGAATTACATACCCCATCATAAGATTAAAGCAGGAACATATTATTGTTAGATATACTGTTCCCAGATTAAAGTTACTTCATAAAATGGGGGGAAAAAAGGAAAATTAAACTCCTTACTTTAATTTTTAAGTATATACTTTTTTTAAAACCTTCACTAATTTCTTAACATATGTCAAGATATTTAGTAGATTATATTAGTTATACCAGGAACATATATATTGAATAATGTGGTTAATTTATTGAGCAGTTCCGATAAAATCCATAAATCTCGCGAAGCCTCGTAAAGTTCGGGATTTTATCAATTTCATATTGAAAAGCCTATCAGATTCATTTCCCGTTAGATATAATGTTCCCAGGTTATACTTTATTTCAAGATAATTGAGATAGACGCGATAAATACAAATTGTATTATATGTCTCTGGATAAACATAGTAACCAAACTTCAGACATTTAGCGATATAAAGTTTATGTATCGAAAAGTGAAGTTAGCTTCATCAGAGACATAAAAAATGTGAAGAAATTTAATCAATTAATCATGATCCTTATTTGTTTTTGCAGCCAGTTTGAAAATAGTTAAAAATTCTAAGCTGCATTCTTTTTTGATAATCCCAAACTAAAACCATTTTTTTTAAACGTTTCAAACTGGTTTATAAATATATATATATATATATTAATATTAATGGTTTATATACATATAACTACTCTAAATATCATAACAACAATGTTAAATCTGCAAATTGCGGAAGCAAATTTTTGTTTTTTCCTCGCCGAAATACTTATAGATAATTACATTAAAGTTTTCTTTTTTTAATATTGCTTTTGTTTTGTTGTTTGGTCATTGGCTATCATATTCACGATTTTTTTGATCAATTTATAAATACCATGCACGGGCAACAAACTCAATCCAAGCTTTTGGAGTGAAACAGTTTGAAACCGGAACTTTATACTTTTTCAAACGAATCTCACTTTTTTATTTCTAGCTTGTCCTTTTGTAAATTTGCCCAAATAAAAAGAAGCTGAAGCTTTGTTGTTTTTATACGGCTGTGATAGAAACTGAGAAGGAAGCAGGCCTGAATGAAAAGGCCAATGCAGTATACATGTAGTTCAGTACGCAATTTGAAAAAAAATGTTATTTTTGCAATCGCCTGTCCGTTGAATACGGATATTGATTTTCATTTTAAGAAAAATAATTTGTACTAAGCTGGGTTTTTTATGTGTGTTTTTATTTTGCTTATACTGTGCCATATCGTCCTAATTTTTCGCCAAACACGCTCTGGGCCTCTGTCAACTAGACCCTCTAACTTGACTTAGGAATACAGATTGCCGCAACTCCTTGTAAATGAATTGACGGAATTCCCAAAACTTCATCTATAAGACTTATAAGACACAAAGCTGTGCATCTGCTACATTATGTTTTAACTAGCTTTATTTGGGGAGGGGTTTCACATGACAAAAACAAAAGAATGCGCTTCTTTCTATAAATGTGTACACGATCAACACTTTTATAACCCTATCAAATTGCTAAAAGAAGCATTCATTTCTTATTTATAACTATATTTTTTGGAGAGGGTTGTCGACACAGGTCAGTGTCCCTTTGTAAACTCACCCCTCTTCCCTTCCCTCCCCATCCCCCCCCCCCCCCCCAAACAAAAGAGAAGACAAACGGATCTCTGACTTGATAAGATAATCATCACTAAATAAGTACGTAAACAATATTGCTAATCTTTTCTCAAAAACAACATACCGGTAGTAATTTACAATAGTTTTCGATGGCAAACATCGAGGAATATATCAATCCCCATTTTTGTTTATCGCAATGACCATAAGTTTTAAAGAAATAGAAATTCGGTATTCGTGAATCGTTTTATATAGATCTATAGAATAATTTTAAGGACTTAGTCTAACGCGTATTCATCAATCAACTGTTTTGATATGACATAATTTTGCATTTAATTGGCCAGACACTTATAATACTGTATTATATTTCACTGATTTAACACACCAAAAAAGTGCCTTTTTAATTTCGTCTTAATTTCCAGGGTTAACTGGCATTGTTTTCATATAAGATTGATAAAAAATATGGACATATGGTATGATTGCCAAAGAGACAACTATCCACTAGAGTTAAAATGAAGTGGAGGGGAGCAATTACTGGCCGTACTTTATTCTGTTAAGAATTTAAACGCTGCTTACATGGACTGCGCTCTTTTTTTTATTTCGCTAAAAAATGGCAAAATTTTAAAATCATAAAAACGCTCTATCTATTCACTGACAGTCACTTTTTTTCGCTTGAAATCTTATCCCATATTGGAGCACAGCTTGTACTTCAGATAAATTCACACATCATCTTCTATCAATTAATTACTGATGTAGGATATCTGTGACAAAATATATTAGTATAATAGTCCCAGAGGATATCAAATATATATATATAGTCTCGATATCATAGGTTTGAACGTTGTTTTCAATTTAGACTTGTTATTTTTTTTTCGTTTGGGCTTGTATTATATTTTCCTTCGGGGTTATATGATCCGTTTATCCTATTTCGACTCTTCAAAATTCAAGAGTTAATCCCAAATTGAGGTAAATTATATGGCCTTCCAAATACCGTTTCGATTCCTAACATCACTGAGACATTAATTTTCGAAATCCGGATATGGTGTACAAATTTTTACACCTCATGTTTGCGGTATACCATCTTTTCCGCAAGTTTATTGTTTTCTGTTTGGTATTAAATTGATAATTATATTCCATTTTGTTACATCTGTGATCTGTTTATTTGGCAACCGCCATAACAGTCAACAGGGTTTAAGAACATCAGTTGTTCGACCTGCTAGTCAAATGCGTTTTGTTAAAATATACTTTTTCACTTTTTTTGGTCTTTTGAAAAATGTTGTTTGTGCTGTATTTAGACGCCTCTACCAAGAAATTTGTTTTGCATGCACACGTATAAAAATTGCGGTTTTTATCCAACGCAATCATAGGTTTGAACGTTGTTTTCAATTTAGACTTGTTTATATAGTCTTATCTCTTCAACAACGGTATAACGGTAATGAATATTCATTAGATCAATTAATTACCTATTACGCAGGTGGTCATAGAAAAGAACAGATGTATTCCGAAAAAGACTTCCGGTGTTCCGAAAGACTACGGAGGTCGTCCAATATATACTGCGTAAACCCTCAGGGGTTTACGCAATAATCATTTGCATCTGCGTTTATGGTAATGAACAGTTAGTTTTAGCTAAGTCATCATCACAGCATGATATGGTTTCTTAATCTTTGCTTCTTTGTATTTTCATCTTTTTATGTATAGTTCGTTTAATATCCCTGAATTGTTTTTGTTTTACATGCATGTTCATGATATATTTATTATATATAAATAATTATATCTTGTTATGGAAAAGACTTCATCAGTATGATTAACTTGTGTCTCCTCCATTTTGCATAGATAAAGGAAATAAAATATGTTTAAAATAAGTTATTATCGCCAGAAATGTAGAGCATACACAAGCTTATATTCAATTAAGACAGAAGCGATGAAGTTTAATTGATGTTTGCATAAATATTGAACCTTTAATGACTAATTACTGTGACTTGACTGTAAGTGTTGCTCTCCACCTGTTGTAGTTAATTCAAAATTCTGACCAAATTGCAATTTGTTTTATCAAACAAAACTGTTCAACTGGTCAGAAATTTTAACAAACTGCTGTAGAAAACCACAGTCACGTCGTGAAAGTACAAGATGATAAAATAAAGCATACTCACAATTATATTAGACTTTAGTTCTACTTCATTGATATTATGAAAACATTTATAAGAACTTCTATACATTCTTTTATTGTAGTTTTCATTCGAAAGGTCACACGTTGTAATTTTGGAACTGCTAAAAAATGTCCAAATTTTAAGTTTTTAATTATTTCTTCTAAAATGGTCTTTTTCTATGCATGCTACAAAGCTTTCTTGAAATTAATCTCTAAAATACTTCGTGAAATGTAATTTGAGCTTAAATATTTTCTCGTGAAGTTTTAAAGGGAGATAAGATCAATATTTCAAACGATCAATGATTTTTAGATTATATCCCATGGAAACTTATTAACAATGTATTGTAATATCACATACATTTTACTGAATATAACATGGTTTAATTCAAACTGATGTCTT